ATATAGTATTCCATGGTGAATAGAATTTAGGGTTATTTGGTTTGGTAATTACCATTATAACCATTTGAATGCCCCGCCTACTCGTGGCGGCACCGCTAGACTATCTTACCATTGACAGGTGCTACTTCAAGGATCATCGCTATAGATGGTGATCGAACTCAAGACCTTGTCTGAGATGTTGCACCTGCTAGGCTAGCTTTGTTTCACCATATGTAGTACTGTAGTAGCATACTATCATTTTGAAAATGTGAAAAACCTACTCATAAAAAATAAGGGGTCGTTTGCTTCAAGGATTTTATTACGAGGTTTTTGTCATGGATTTGCTAATTAAAAACCTTGGGATTTATTAGGGATTTTGGGCACCATGGATTTGAGGAAATCATTTGTTTGTTGAGCTAATTTTATCAAGGATTTGATGATTTGGGATTTATTACTGAAAAGTTTCAATTACCTTATTACCCTTTGTTTTCTTTCCTTCTTCATAAGCCCCCACGAAAGACTCTTCTTCACCATCACTTCTCCAATCGTGACTGGTCTGCAGAGGCGACGACAAGCACACGAAGCTGGGGGTAAACGACAAGGCACAAGAAGCAGAGGCAACGACGAGGCACAAGAAGCTGGTTCAGAAGAAGGTATGTTTGAACCCACTTCCATTTCGCTTTTCCCATTTGATTCTTCATTTTGAGTTCGATTTCTCCTTCGATGGCAGTGGGGATTTCAATTAACAAATCCAGTCATCTCATGGAAAGTAAAGGGAAGATTGTGACAGTTCCAGATGCATTCTGCTATGAGGAGGAAGAGGTTCTCTGTTATTGCGGGCTGAGGGCGGCTAGAAGAATCTCGCATACTGCTGGGAACCCTAACCGCAAATTTTTTGGATGCCCCCTGTTCAGTCGCTCAAAGGATAACAAATCCTGTGATTACTTTGAGTGGTTTGACATTAGAGCTGCGGTATTCAAAGCAACTGCACCGCTGTCTGAAATGGTTTCGATGTTGGAATCTGAAAATAGGGAGCTACGCAGTTTGTTACAGATGGTAATGAAAGATGGATCTGGAAAACATCAACCGAACGAGTTTGCTGTTGAGCTAGAACTCATCAAGCAGAGGGTACAACGTCTAGAGTTAGAGGGTAGTAGTAGGAAATGATTGGAAGTAGATCATGTTGTTGTATTCCATGTTATTTCAGTTCAGTTATGAACTGTGTTGTCAATGAATTGGAATGAAACAATGTATGTTCTTTTACTCTGAGAATCTCTTTAAACAAGCATGTTGGTGGGGAAATTCATTGACAATGTTAACTGAAATATCCAGGTTGCTTACTGATGGAGCAATTCATCAACATTGTTACACAATGGACCTGCAAAATACAGCCTGCTACAAAAGAGTTCAGCAGCTTGTATAATCCTTGAAACATTAACAACACATGTTGGTATGTAATGAAACTTAAGCAAAATGACAGTGTGTCCACCACCAACACTTGCAACAGCCAAATCTAGGATGATCTAACCTTGCACAAAAACAAAAGTTTCACACCCATACCACATGTGTTCTGCAAAATAGAGTACCAACTAGTTCATACACAAGCCTAATCAGCGTAGCAGATTCTTGATGAAGTAGCATCGGTCCTCATCGCTTTCCAACGCATAGAAAAGTCTAGTCTTTGGATCATTGTCTACTAAAGCCATAGCAGCATCAATGACTTGGCCACGTGTGAGTCCATCAATCTTGCCTATCTCCTTGATCAAGGCAGCCTGCTTGCTGTTGTCACCATCTCGCTCACTTCGCTCACTTGTTATGGATCCAAGTGCTTCCACAGCTTTGAATAATATCGGCTTCAACTCACCAAGTCGAGAGGACACATTAGCTATAGCTGAATCAGTTGCCATTTCACTCTTCTTAGATATATCCTTGATCACATAGATAGTAAGTTCCTAGTAAATGAACGGAACCAGTTAAGGCTAGTGTGGTGCATATTCACAATTAATTTCAAGGGACACTATCTCAAAATTACCTTTTGGCACTCGCAGCCCATTTGGCCTTAATAAAGCATCCCTAAGAACTTTCCCATCATGAGCTGAACCCTCCCAACCAGCTAAGAAATATAGGAACTCAACATTTTGATTAACCACTCCCAACACATTCATTGAAATATGCCCCTTGCGGTCTCGATATCTAGGTTGGTCTTCATTCCTTACACGAACTTGTATGTGTGTTCCATCTAGTGCCCCTAAGCAACCCTAAAGAACAAAACAGTTTGCTTTTAATATACTTGTAAACAAGTCTACTACATCATCACAAAATAAAGAAGATATTGTATCACCTTAAAGTACTTCCACTTCACATCATCTGAGTTTTCTGGAGTAGGTTCAGGCTGTGGAAGTAAGATGGGATGGAGGCGAAGAACTCCACGAAGAACCTTGTGAAACACTTTGCAAATAGTTTGCCCCGATCGACAAAAATCTAACTGTAAAGTTCTATTTTTTGCGTTGTGGCCAATTGTGATAAAAAAGATCATCACCATCTCATCTACGTCTACATTGTCAGTACCTTTTAACCCCCCCTCGCTAACCAGTAAGTCACACAACTTCCGAAACAAGTTACGATTCATTCTAACCTTATTAATAGAATGAGTATCAGATAACCCAATTATGCGTCTCATATAACGTCTTCTATCGTGTTCACGATCAAAGATGCTATCTAAAGGTCGATTGGGAGGTCTGCTAATCTCTCGCTTTTTCAAGAGTAATAGCTCAAACAGTTCAAGCAACAATGACAAATAAGTCAACAGCAATCCTAAGACAACTCTAATTGCTGCCAAAGCTTCTCTGTTGCGCGCATTAGGCACCCTGTTCAGCCTAGCCATTCCTTTACATAACACAAAATGGGATAATAATTAGCTATAAACAAACAACTACTGAACTTTCTACTAAGACAGAAATCACCAAACCAGAAAATCATAACCTAACAGTGCTACAAATGAAGGGAAATAGCACGAAATCAAAAAGATTCAGAGGACACGAAAAGGGAAGCTGGGAATCATCCATCTCTAGGGTTGCTCGAAGAAGCAGATGGAGTTTGCAAAAGAACCAGAGACATGCTTACCTGGGTGTTAGGTCGGCCGTTTAAGGTTGACGGCGGCAAAGCTCTCAAGTTCAACCGGACGGAAGCAGCAGCCCTTCTTCGGCGGCGACCAACTCTCAAGTTCCAGGAATCGCGCGATATCCCTTCTTCGGCGGCGACCAACTCTCAAGTTCCAGGAAACGCGCGATGCATCTCGTCTGTCTTTTTTAGGGTTGCTGGTGCGGAGTGGGAGGAGAAGTCGATCAGCAAGAGGTTGGAGGCTAATAATATAAAAAAGGGCAAGGTTGGAATAATGAAAAATAATGGGGATAGAGTAGTAATTTGAGAGCATGGTTTTTTAGCTTATTTCCAAATCCCAGGGTATAAGGTGGGATTTGTAAAACCGTGGGCCCCACGGATTTGGAGCAAAAAAATAACCAAATCCGTGGGACCCACAGATTTATCTAAACACGTTTTGACAAAACAAACAATGGATTGTACCTAAAAACTTGATAGTTGGTTTTTTGGTACCAAATCCATGTACCAAATCCTTGAAGCAAACGACCCCTAAATTACCATGGTGAGGTTCATATTTTTGTATGGTATATTGGTATTACTTTTCTAGCATTCACGGTAGACAATAATGACTGTTCATTATTTTATGAGATGATAAATATAAATTATTATAAAAAAAATTAAAATATCTATAACGTGGAAGTGGGCAGGGAGTGAAAAAAGATATCAGGCCACCTGTAATTTTCAAGCCCCCCTAATAGTGGGTCAACTGAAAAAGCCCATTCGGATCAGTGCATTACTGATCTTTTGGCTCTTTGCTCTACAGAGTCAATGGTCAGCGCCTAGCAAGTAGGCCGAACCAGTTCCAGTATTGCCCTGCCTACAAGCCCAAAAGCTCCCTTCACTTTCTTTTATAATAATAAAAATTTATTGCTTGAAAATAGGAATTGAAAATGTTTTTCTTGCTATTTAATTTCCTGATTATTTTTTGGTGACCAATCAATTCAAAGGGATTTAATTTGAAATTAAAATATTTGCATAGCATATTTTATTTTAAAGTCCAACTCTACTAACCAGTTAAGCAAATTTGTGGTTGCTTTCTCGTTAATTGCTTGCTGAAGAGACTATGAAACTCGTGCGGTCCACGAGTTTGAAATATCTTTTATTTCAAGTGAAAATTCCACACAAATCGGTTAAATTTATACAAAAGATTAAATTCTCGATGATGATTTTGTATAGAAATTTTTTTATCTTAATTAATTCAAGTGGCGTTGTATATTCCCCCCTCCCAAATTATGTCCTTTTCCCTTCTCTTTCTATTTATTCCAACTTAATTTGATAATAATAAGATAATTTAAAATATAAACCCGTAAATCAAATCAATCAAACGAAACAATCCAATAACAATTTTTTCAAATCTACTATAACAGGAAAATTATCATCAGCCCTTTATTTGCAACCACCTCTTCGTCACTAAATGTTAATAGCAAGGATGTAGTCAGCACTCAGCAGCATCACCCACAGACATGCAAACAAAACCAAAAACTACAACAACGCCGCACAGATAAAGTTATAATAAGAATCGCATTTGAGTTCTTCCACTCCCATCCAATTCCACTTAATGACCCGACCCACCAAACTAAAAAGTAACCAATTAGCCAACTCCATAATCAGACCAATTTTTCCACCCTTTTCCTTCTCCGATCGATTAATTGTTTCCAATAAAAAACATCGTTTCCTAATTTCCACAATTTCTCTAATCCGAGTGCTGACTTAACTAATCTTATATATACCCCTCCTTCTAGTAACAAACGCCACAAGCTTCTTCCCTTCGCCACTCTCTTCAAGTAACTTCTGAACACAGTCTGAGCCCAAAAAAAAATAAACAAAGAAAGAAAGAAATTTACTTTGCGTTACCAAAAAAGTCTTCGGACATGGCGGCGACGGCGGAAAGGTTCAACTATTACGCTGCCGCTTGCGCCATAGTCGCTTCCACCATATCCATCATCTTCGGCTACGGTAAGTTTTTCCATTCATTCATCTCTACGTCTTTTCCTAGAATTTGCCATGGAATTACGATGAACAAACAAGTTGTGATGAAATAATATAAGTCGAAATATGTTTACTTAACCAGATACCGGAGTGATGAGCGGAGCAATGATCTTCATCAAAGAGGACTTGAGAATCGACGACACGAAAGTCGAGGTCCTCGCCGGAATCCTCAACCTCTGCGCCCTGGTAGGCTCCTTAATGGCGGGGAGAATCTCCGACTACATCGGTCGTAAATACACCATCGCCATGGCCTCCACCATCTTCCTCGCCGGCTCCGTCCTCATGGGCTGGAGCCCCAATTACGCCGTCCTCATGACGGGACGCTGCGTGGCCGGACTCGGAGTCGGATTCGCACTCATGATCGCTCCGGTCTACTCCGCCGAGGTCTCGTCGGCTCAATCCCGCGGCTTCCTCACCTCCCTCCCTGAGTGGGGGATCGCTATCGGCATCCTCTTAGGATACATCTCCAACGTCGCCTGCGCCAGGCTGTCGCTCAGGCTCGGGTGGCGGCTGATGCTCGGGATCGGGGCGGTCCCGTCGCTGATCCTCGCGGTCGCGATCGTCTCGAAGATGCCGGAGTCCCCGCGCTGGCTGATCATGGAAGGGAAATTGGGGGAAGGGAAGAGGATACTTTTCGCGGTCTCGAATTCGAAAGAGGAAGCCGAGATTCGGTTCCGGGAGATCAAAATCGCGGCCGGAATCGATCCCGAGGAGGAGGGGGAGGAGACGGTTGATCATGTTCCGAAGAATTCGGGAGGGAAAGGGGTGTGGAAGGAGCTGATTCTGCGGCCCACGCGGGCCGTGCGGATGATTTTGATAGCGGCGGTGGGGATACATTTCTTCGAACACATGGTGGGCACGGAAGCGGTGGTGCTCTACAGCCCGAGGATTTTCAAATCGGCCGGGGTTACGGATAAGCACAAGCTTCTGCTCGCGACGGTTGGGGTCGGATTGACGAAATTCGCCTTCATCGTGATCTCGACGTTTCTCCTGGACCGGGTCGGGCGGCGGAGGCTGCTGCTGGTCAGCACGGCCGGGGTGGTCGGGGCGTTGACCGTGCTGGGGGCGTGTTTGACGATTGTGGAGAGGGAAAAGGGGGAGAAGGTGATGTGGGCGCTGGGGATGAGCATCGCGTCGGTTTATGCTTTCGTGGCGTTTGTGAACATCGGGCTGGCGCCGGTGACGTGGGTTTATAGCTCGGAGATTTTTCCGCAGCGGCTGAGGGCGCAGGGGTACAGTTTGGGGGTGGCGGTGAATCGGTTGATGAACGCGACGATCTCGATGACGTTTATATCGCTGTACAAGGCGATCACGATCGGCGGGGCGTTCTTTATGTTCGCCGGGGTGGCGGTGGTGGCGTGGTTTTTCTTCTACTTGTTGTTCCCGGAGACGAAGGGGAGGTCGTTGGAGGAGATGGAGGAGTTGTTCAGTCACGGGTTCCGGTCGGGTCGGAAGCAGCAGAGTAAAGGGCAAGTAGGACAGGGCAACGTGTAAGTTGGTTGCTTCGTGCATGGGATGTTTTCACGGTAAGGTTATATTGAGTATGAATGAGAGAAAGAGAGAGACCAAGATTGTTGTGTATGTTACATTAGAGTACGTACGCCTGTAAAATTCGCAGTCAATCATACGAAGAAATTCTCTTCTAATAGTCATTGATCGAGTATTTTACGCTTATGGTTCAACCATTTTATACTGCTAAATACCGCCTACTAATTTGACTTTCGTGAGATGATTTTTTATGTCGAATCGCTGATACAGATAGTACTGATGGCAATTTGAACTCGCCCCACGAGTATTACCCGATCTGACCCACGATGGGGAGGGTATCCGACCCACCGTAGCGTGGAGCTGGGCATGTGTATCTACTTCCAACCCGCTCTGTCCTGTCCCATCCCATTCTTGGCCCATTATATCTTAATTTCTACCAGTATCTATACATATTTCTCCCATTTCGACTTTTCTTTAATTAGTTAGAGTCGATCTTTCAACTTGTTAGACTCAATTACTCATTCTATTAACGATATTTTTCATTCACAAAGTGTACTTTCCCCTTTACTTTATCATAATAACATGTAAGAATGGATCGACCCACCCCGTCCCGTACCCGCGTGGGTTTTACCTGCCCAACCCACAATAACATGGGATGGGACATGAATATTAAGGTACCGGCCATTGCTATGAATCTCAACTTCTTACCTCTAAAGTCATCAATCATGCATAGAAACATCGGAATTATCACCACAAGCACTGCTAGATGCACATGCACTACCATCGTTCCTCCTTCCACTTGAATTTGGTACATTGGAAGTCGAGGTAGATGAAACAAGATTATCTTTTATGGAGATTGCATTCATCAACTTGTCCAATTCTGCAAGATTAAAAAGACTCAAAATTAGTCATGACATATAAATTAATCATGTTATAAATATGTAATGCTAGATTTGAGACTTTTCCTTCATCTATTTTCTCAACCTCTTCTAGATCCTCCTCGGCTGATGGTGGTGCAGAATCACCTCGAATCCAATCCAAGCTACAGATTAAGGCCTCCACTATCTTAGGAGTCAATGAACTTCTGAAATCATCTAGAATCCTCCCACCAGCGCTAAAGGCAGATTCGGATGCAACGATAGAGATTGCGACCGGCAAAACATCCTTAGCCATCATGGAAAGGGCTGGAAACCTCAAATTGTTAACCTTCCACCAACCCATTACATCAAAATTGAGCACCATTGGTTCGTTTTCCTCACGAAGGTATTTCTCAAGCTCGGATTTGTTTACCGCCCCTACAATTTGCTCTCTATGCTTTTTGTATCCAGCAAGTACATGAAGCTCATCCCCATCACCCTCCTCCACAATTGGGACCAAAGAAGTAGAGTCATTCTTGGATTGTTTCAACTTCCAAAGTTGTTCATAGTGAGCAAATAGAGCAAATGTAGCCTTCCTCACATCCTCCGCCATACGTGCTCCCTTGCCACCCTCAGGATACACCCTTTTCAAAGCAAAATCAACAAAACCCATCTTGTACCTCGGATCCATTACAGTGGAGATGTAAAGTAGTTTGTTCATTTTATCCACATCTCCCCAATACTTCTCGTACTTCATCTTCATCTTGCTAGCCATGACACTCAAGTCGAGATCTTTCTCAACTTCCATCTCCCACTTGGTTATCAAATGATATAGGGAATGCACTTCTTGTAAGAACAAGTTAGAAGTGGTATATTTTAAGCCCGAGATCTTCAAGGTGAAGTCGTAGAACTGACCAAGAAATCCCATCATTCTCCTTGCATTCTCCCAATCATCATTCTCTGGGACACCAATTATGTCATGTCTATCCTTCTTGCTTTCCAAATCCTTTCGGAAATGGTCATCATACATGTCAAACATCATGAAGACCTTTTCAAACCTCTCAGCAGCCTGCAACATCAAGAATGTCGAGTTCCGTCTATTAGGAACATCAAGACACAATTCACGTTTGCCTTCTACCTTTTGAACAGTAGCAAACTCATGAAAAAAATTCAACATTTCTGGTGAATTTCTAATAAACCTCACTGCTTCTCTAATTCTCTTCACAGACAAGAAAATATCTCCAAGCCCATCAAACATAACTAGATTTAATATGAGCTACACATCTCATGTGAAGGAATTCACTATCACATATACTTGTCCCCCTAACATTAAAAACTTCCTTCAATTTGGCCACAATTGTATCATTAGAGCTAGCATTATCCACGGTAGTTGTGAAAACCTTCTCAATCCCCCAATCATCCAAACAAGCAACAATGTCATCAGCAATATCTACCCCTTTATGACCTTTAAGTTCCCCAAAATTGATGATCTTCTTTCTCAATTTTCAATCTTGATCAATGAAGTGGCCAGTTAGGCACATAAGCTATCTTGCTTATTCGAAGTCCATGCACCAGTTGTCAAACAAATTCTTCCTTCACAACTTTGAAAATACTTTTCAACTTGTCTTTCATTTCGCTATAGAAGGCAAAGCAATCCCTAGTGATTGTTCCCCTAGAAGGAATTTTGAACATAGGGTAGCATAGTGACATGAAGTACTTAAAACCCATATCATCAACAAACTTGAATGATTTTTCATCAACAATGAGCATGTAAGCTAACCCCTTTCTAGTAGCTTCTTGATCAAACTTCTAGTTTGTTAAAGTATCCTCACCTTCTACCCCCCAGTTTTCCCTAAGTTCAAGAGTTGTTGAGTAGTACCTTTCTTATCACCACAACCCTTTCGCATATGAACATTAATAGCATTGGTACCATTAAGAAATGGATCGGCCTCATACTCCTTCCCACACTTCATACACCTTGACATCTTGTATTCGTCCGGAGCATTGATCTTTGTGAATTGAGTCCAACACACCGCTCTTGACTTCATCTTCTTTCTTTTTGATTTTAAAGTTTTTTTGGTAGTAGAGCTGGAGCAGACAGCAGCTTCATCCACAAGAGGATCACCACCGGCCGATGAATCTTCTTCCTACACCATCAATAAACACAAGAGGCAGTAGCATTAGCCATTAGCCATTAAGCAACATACAAAAGTACTAAGGACACAAGAGACAGTAGCATTAGTCATTAGCATTCTCCTAAATTAAACCAACAGAGCAGTTAGCTATTATCATAAATTACAAACCAACAAATTACTTGCTATTTAAACAAACTTGCTATTAACCATTCTGCCTTTTAGTTCTAGACACACTTGCTATTAAACAAATAGCAATCTCAATTCTCAAATAGCAATCTCAAGTTTTTGAATATTAAGAACCTATCAACACATGGACATCCACATCCTCATTTGGAATCTGTTGACCGTCGGCGTCGGTGGAGTTGTCGGTGGCCTTCGACTAGTGGTCATGTTTCAAGGCGACGAGTGGTGCTGTCGGCAAGAGCTGGGTGGCTGTCGGCGGGAGCCGGGAGAGTCTGTGGGTGTGGGTGCCGACTGCCGGGTGGGAGTGGGAGAGAGGCGGCGGCCGGCGAGTGGCGTGGCATGACGGACTGGCGATGGGAGATATGGACGGAGGTAGAGAGAGGTTGAGAGTCGAGATTGGAAGAGGTCGTCCGGACTCAGGGTCGGGGGATGACGAGATGGCCGATGGGGACGCAGCAGAGCAGACGTGGGGTTTCGACTTTTGCTATTGGCAGTTGCTGCGTCGCCTCTCTGCTGGTTGGCGGCTCCTGCTGGCTGCTTCGAGTAGGGTTTCGACTTCAGCAATCGACACTAGCCTTCGTGTTTTTCATATAGGAGAAGGAGAGTGGGCTGACTGGATGTTGCTGGCAGGTTTGGGCTTGGCCGCTTGGCCGCTTGGGCTTTAGTTTGGTCAAGTACTCAAGTGGGAGTGGGCTTACTGCTGAGGTTTGAAAAGGATTGGGCCATTATTAATTTGAAAATTCGGTCGGTATTTCGGTTTCTCGATTCGGTCAAAAGGCACCTGTCTTCCAAAATTTAGCCTATCTCCGTCCGAATTCCAAACCTAATAAGGATTATTTCGGTTTCGGTCAGTTGTTCGGTTCGAACAACATATATGTGTGATTCTGGAAGTGTTTTTCCACTGGTCAATTTGTGTGTACTTTATTCTTCTTCGTTGGTTAAAAAAAAAGTGGCATTCGTAAGTCAATTCCGGGATCAGATAACATTCTATTGCGAATCTTGTGCTCCCCTGGAACTGTCCATATAAGTTCTCTGACTAATTAACAATGTCATATCTACTATGCATTATAATTGCCATGGGAAACCAGTTTGTGATCATTGAACCAACTTGGTTTGATTAATCTCAAATAATACTTCTAAAGTATTTGATATGAGAACGAACTCATAATTCATATTATGAGAAGAGTTCATGAAATTCAACTTGGTTGAATTCAAAAGAATTCATGTTGGAATTTTTGGAAGGAAGTTGCAGGGGTTTCAATTCTAGTGCTTGCAAGATGTTACATTTTGGTTTATGTAACAAAGTTGTTTGTGATGTGATCTTGGAATGAATTGAAACAAAATGTGGAAAGTGTTCACGAGACATGGAGTTTGATCAATGATGATGGATTTATGTAAATTACATATTTACATACTGATAAATAATGTGGCCATATTTTCTAAAATGTGATCAACCACCAAGTTTTTAATGCGTTCATCATACGCGTGTAAAACCCAAGGCTTGAGACTAGTAGGGACTTGTGAGTCAAGTCTATCAAAGCCGGAATGATTGCAAAGGTTATTTTCAAAGTAAATTGAACAAAGTATGAAAGAGTATACCTCCAATGTGTTGGAGATGGAATTTGGTTAATGCGCGTATAGAGAATTGCATTAGGAGTAAGCCACGAGCGATAAAGAATTTTAATTCCTACGATACTTGTGAAGACATGATAATTTGTTTGTCATGTATGTGGTTTAGGATATGATGTTTCATATGCCATGAGGAAAAGAAAAAATGAAGCTATGATTGATCCTTATAGGGATTGAATAAGCTTGCCAAAAAAATGGTGGTCATCAAGATAAGCATAATGTCATAATTGTTTATGGTATAAGTAGACTATACCATTGGAAAACAATTTGACTATGATTATCAACGTGGAGCTATTTGTCAGAATTGTTTATGGTATATATTGATATATATATCATTGGCAAACAATTTGGCATGAAAGCTCAATTGAGATTATCATCTTGAACTTAAAGTTTGAATTGCTTATGGTATATTTATGAAACTTATACTATTGGCAAGTAATTAGACTATTGATTTAGAAAATTCATCGGAATTACTTGTGGTATGCCAAGCTTCTTTGACTAATGTCATTGGTAAATAAATAGATGTGATTTCCAGTATTGGAATGCATCTGCATTACTTGTGGCACTTAAAGTGTTCTTGATTGATACCATTGGAAAGTAATTTGATACTATTTATGATAAGATCTAAATTTTTTGTGGTATGTTAATCGAATGAGATCATATCATTGGTAAACAATTAGATACATATAGAGGTTATCAAGTTCTAAAGTAAAACCATGAAAAATAAATAGAATCATTCCATGATATTTTGGCAAGTGGTAGAATTGTGGGGGAGATTAGTTGTTGTATAAACTACTATCTCTCCAAATCCTACAATGAGACTTAAACCTATCCATAACGAAAATGTGGAAAGGTAAACGAAGTCATACTTGAAAGCATGAAGGTGTCCAGTTAGAAAGTGAAAGAGGATTTCTTAGGGATGTTAGTATACTTTTCCCCAAAAAGAAAATGATTTTGATCATATACACGAAGGTCTATGAACAACATTCCCCATACCGAAAAGTGTGGTTTCAGCAACTATGGCGAAATAGTTGAAAAGTGGGGGATATATTGGGAAGAAGTGATATGAAATGTCGCTTTGGTGATTCCAATTGAAGTGATACTTAGAATTTTTACGTAAACCCTAAGCTAAGTCATAAATATCACTACATTGAAAGAGATACTTGTGAATTTCGAGTACTCTAAGAATGAAGTGGAGAGACTTCAACACCATTGGCATGTGTTATGATTATTGCAAGGCAAGTTAGACACACATGATGTGTAGTGAATCGAAAGGAGACGAGTTTTTGGTGTATTATACCTCAAATAACTCACTGGATGAACCAAAATATATAATCCATTAAATGGAGACATTTATGGTTGATGAGGAGCATTATCTTGGAAAAACGTCCAAGTTAAACTATACACACACTCTAAAGACCGGTGAATTTCAATAGTCTAGCCCCAAAGACTGGCGTTAATAAACGCACTTGTGCACAAAGTTGTTATTGCAGGGGCTGGAAGAAGTGTCATGTAATAAATCTCGTCATAGATGATGGAAACATAACACTGTAGATTGATTAATGTCTATCAAAGTTATAGATTGATCATTTTAGATCAAGTGATAACAAATGTGGGGCCCATCTGGAAATTAATTAAAACATTGAAGGGAATGGACCCGTGGCCTAGGACAAATCATCATGGCGGTAACTCTACCTAAGTAGAATTGGCAAACCCAACCTCTAGGTTCAATGAGCATACAAAGTTTTGAATGTTGGTCCGATATTGTCAAATTATCCAAAGTCTATTCTCATGATGAGACAATGTCTGAAATAAGGGTAAACCGAAATATGAAAGGTTTTTAATGGTTTCTAAGTTTGACACGTGGTGTGATCAAATAGTGTATTTTCGGAATACACGTTTAGAAATCACCTATGTGAGTGTGAAGTGGAGCCGCTTCAAGGAGAATAAGAGAAGGTCAATTCTCTAAGCACTCATGAGACCAGGCGGTGTTCATGGCTAAAACGAACACAACAATGAGAACTAGTGAACGGATAAGAGTTAGTTGTGTGACATATTTTGTCTTAGAATACAAGCAAAGTCGACGGTTCAATGATATCACATCAACCGATTGGTGAGTATACTCGATATATGTTCACTAAGGAAGGTTCAAAGGGAAACCTACCTATCCCGATGCAACTAATTTTTAGTCGAGAATCACACGATTTTTTGCATAGTTTTTGAAGTACAACATTCTCCATTCATTTGGGAAATTGTTGGGGTTTTTAATGGTGTGAATGGAAATGAAAGGGGAAAGTTCCAAGAGAATCTCTTGAAGTACCATGTTGGTAAGGTGTGGGAAGGTACGGCCTCAAATTTGATTGATTTGATGTAATATGTGGTTAATCGGTTAAATTGGTTTGTGTAACCAAACGAACTAAACCAAACCGAGTCGAACCAAATCGAACTGAACTGATATGGCGGTTCGAGTAAACCAAACGGTCCAACTACCATGGCCTGAACCGGTGCAATGGTTCATTATTTTAATAACAAACCAATGTGTTGGTTGGGGTGTAACCATCCATACAAAGAGTTGCCTCCCTTCATACGCACCCCTTCATTCTCTATAAATAGCACCTAACCCTTCTGGTTTTGATACGTGTTTTTCGGTACCAAAACTCTACTAAAATCCAAAATTAGTTTTATGCATTCTTTTCAAAAAGAAAATTGAGTCAAGGGCGATTCTCTCCGGTTCGCTGCGTTTGATGGTTTCCGAGGTGTGAGGTACCGCTACGCCGGAAAATGTACGTCCTTCCTATCCTGGGAGGAATCATTCCGTAACCTTGGGTACTAGAGGGGAATAACTCCTCCTTAAGGAGAGACAGTGAATTCTATCGGCTAGAACGCTTGCATATGTATTTGCGTGATTTCGTGATCTTATATGTTTCTTGTGTTGATTACAATATCTTAATTTGTTACTTGCTCTACAAGAAAACGGTATACGTGAACAATTTCCACAACACTTCCTTCTCCTCGTCGGATCTCCCCTCATCCCCCTTCAAGTCCAAGTCGGTCACGCCGTCCACAAGTAGGGATGGCAACAAAATCAGAACCCACGGGTACCCACCCGACCCAACTCGGTCAAGGCGGGTAAAACCCGCTTTGACGGATTTTGGGCCGGGTTCGGGTTTAAACCCATTCACTATTCACCAGGTTGGGTCGGGTTTGGGTTTAGGTAAACCCGCCCCATTGGTACCCGCCCACACCCATATAATTAATTTTCTCGATATATTTAATATTCTAAACAACTAATCTTATTTATGTTTGTGGAGACATGTCTAATTTTTTCTTTCTAATTGTGTAGAATGAATTTGATGTTATCGAGTGGAGAGTGAAGAAACTTAATTGACAAGGAGAAAAAGGCTTTCAATTAACCACGTTATTTATGAATAATTTGTGATTTGCTTCAATTTTCTTGAGCTTTCTAGATTGGTGTTGAACAATTTGTATAGGTAATTTGTGATTTGCTTGAATTTTCTAGAATGGTGTTTAATATATGGATAATTTGTATTGAGAGATTGATATTTGACTTTAATTTTGATAGGAACTTGTCATTGTAAAAAAATTTACGACAAAAACTCGTGGGTACCCAGCGGGTGAATTTGGGTTTGGTAAAACCCGACCCAACCCGACCCATTGTCATCCCTATGGACAAGGCCGTCCCACAAAAAAGTTCAATTTCCTCTCTTTCTTTTATTTTTTTCGCTCAGGCATTTCGTCGAACACTTCGGTGCTGATCGTTATCAATTTGTTGCTGTTGTTGTTGTGGGTTATGTGAATGCACCAAGCGTCGACGGCAAAGTACATCTTGCATCAGTACATAGCGGCGACGGGAGGTCAGCCGGCGCTGAACACGGTCGGAGAGGTGAAGATCAACGCGTCGGAGTCATCAAGGGGACCAGACCATCAACGTGTGAAGAACACAGAGGAAGCCGGCGGGTTCGTGCTGTGGCAAAAAGATCCGGACCTGTGGATCTTAAAGCTGGTGGTTTCCGGGTGTAAAGTCATCTGCGGAAGCAACGGGAAGCTCTCCTGGCGGCATTCTTCCAACCAGCAAACCCCAATTTCCAGATGATAAGAAAAATAAAGATACGAAACACCCAAGAAAAGCAGGGCAGCACTATTAGCCTACTCTTCAAATACAGCCGGGGGTTCTGCCAATGTCATGCAACAGATTAGAGTGAATCTTTATAACGACGACTACAGTGAAATCACCATTCCCTAAACCATGTCTAATCACAGAGACTCAAACTCAAACATAGGACGGTTCTGTGTTTCAATACCCTGGAAAAAGGATCATCCTCGAAAGCTTTACGCGAGCACTTAGAAACTGATGAGATCATCCTTGGATGACGACGAAGGTTGCTTCTTTGGGTCTTCAGATGATGTGCTGGAGCCGCCTTTCTTCCCAAATATCATTTCGTCGAGATCGTCCATCATGTCATCCTTGCTCCCCTCACCATGTGTCCCGGCCCGTGAACCTGCTGGCTTTCTGATCAATGCATCTGCTTCTTTTACATGAGTTGGGGAGTCATCAGCCTCGACTGCAACTGGGATCATAGCAGGTTCTGGTGCGGAAGGGACCACTGATGGCCTCTCCATGTCTTCATACTTGGACAGAGCTTTCAGAATCTCATCGTTAACATTCAAAGCTTCAAAGAGCAAGGCCTCATCTTCCCCTGCCGTCTCAATGATCCTTTGGACAGTCGACTGACACTGCCGACACTGCTGGACAAGCGTACTAGTCAAATCATCCTACAAAAGCATGAGACCAAATCCCAACTCAGATCATCGAATCATACAACAGTTACAATTGAAAAACAAGCGGCCTTGGGTGTTAGCTGTATGTATATTTCGGCCTGTCTAGCTTTATCCGCAAAATAATCAAGCTACAAATTCAACCATCCATATCTTATTCACACACCACTGGAACCCCAAAAAGCATCATATCGTAACTTAGATATATTACTCCATGTTTAACTCGGCAAGTTGGTACTAATGTGGTATAAAGCTGAAAATTGCACAAAGTCAAAATATGAAAAACAACATAGAATTTAAACCACAAGCATGGCAATGACATCAGTGGATGTATTACTGAGCTGCACACATGTATCTCCAACTAATTCAAATTACTTCAATGTTGCGGCAAAACAACTTTGGTTAGCAGGTCTCTATCTCTATCTTGAATCATCCCAACATCCCAACACATAACAGCACCCAAAGCAATATTCATAGGCTTCAAGATACATAATAGTATATTATTAGTACGGAAAGCCATTTTATGCATGCAACTTACACAGATAGTTTAGTCCTCAATGATCTCTAAGACCACTGGAGAGAACAATAATTTTTTCGTCAAAACCATATAGCGAGTATGATGGCAGTCAGTAAGATAAAAGTACCTTCAAAGCATCTTGTCCAGGAGACGAAGATAAAACTGTAGTGAGAAGTTCGATGCTATTCCTTGCCACATCAAAAGCTTCCTTAGTCTGCTCAGCAGTAAAGCCTTCTACAACAACCTCTTGATGAGTATGCTCTGCCAGATTGACATCCCCTTCTGGTGCTGAAATGGAACGAGGAGGGGTGAAGATAGGTACCAAACTCTCATCATCACGACCAGGGAACCGGATGCCCCTTGATTTTAAGCTCTGCACAAAAGGAGGAATTCATGAAAACCAAAGCAAAATAGAGATCAGTGTATATGTAAGATGAGTGATAAAGCCATGGCTAACGAGCCAATGCCATACAAGATATAGGAGTTGCAAATGAGGAAAAGCAAAAATGAGGAAAAGCAAAAACACAGCAGGCAACAAGTAAAAGAATTTTCAGGTAAGGGCCCATTGCCAGAAAAATAAGATTCTTTCAAGAAGGGACACTTTCTACGCGCATTTTGAAGTTTCAAACATGATTTCACTATAATTGAACCCAGTTTATATAGCTCATCTTCTGCTGTTTGGATCCCCTAGCTACACGAAATCTAATGTTGAGATTTATAATTCACCAGAAAGCATGCAAGCTCTACCAAGACATGACACTTTATACACGCACTTTGAAGTTTCAAAACATGATTTCACCATTATTGAACCCAGTTGATATAGCTGATATTCTGCTGTTTGGATCCTCTTGCTACACGAGTACTAATGTTGAGATTTATAATTCACCAAAAAGAATGCAAGCTCTACCATGTACTGACAAAACACAATCTTCGGTTCCATACGAAATTAGACATCAGCCAAGGACAAGTAAGATCCAGGACTCACCATTATCCAAGTACTGATCTCAACAAAGAGATTAATATGTTCACAGTTAGAAAGCGCAGAGGAAAAATGAAAAGATTACTAGTAAATACGCCCAAATGAATACCTTGTATGTTTCTTCATAAACAGGCAAATATCGTAGCTCACTGCTTGATTCACCCCAAGCTTCAATCAGGATCAAAGCCTTATTGCGGTTGTTAACAACAGTCTGAGGATCATCAATCAGCCTCACCATCTCGTCAAGAACCCTCTCAGATGCCACTTCGGAGAACGCCTTCTCGCAATTCTTGACGCATGTTTCGAGTAACACCAAGGCCAAATACTGAACCCTAGCATTCTTCACCACAATCCTCTTCTTTATCCCACGAACCAATTCGACGCTACTGATCTTTTCATGATTTATCATGTCGCATATTTCAAGGTTCATAGCCCAATCGGGTTCCTCAAGCGTCTCTGCAGTAGCTTCCTCAACAATTTTATCTGCCTGATTCGGACCTTGAAAAAGTTCTTTCATCTTGAAGCTCATAGAAGTCATCCCAGCACTCATTTTTCGACCCATCTCCGCACCTCCAATCTTGAGGCGTTCACCAAAAGCACTCACCTTCTCGATTAAATCGTCACTCATCTTAGAAACCTAATTGAAAACAAAAGGAGATCAGTATTCCACTCATCATACAACACCCTAGCTGTCGGTCAATTTTAAGTCAATTGATGACCAGCCCAGAAGAACGGTCAATGCAAAGAGCACCATAAAAAGACGACCCACAAAGCGAGGACATCAATAAATCAGAGCTGTAAAAGCAGAACCCATGTTCTTATTTCACTTACGAACAAAAAAAGGGGCAAACTTTACGGCGATCGGACGCGATAAATGATCGGCCGGCCGATCATGGTAAAGCGAATCAAACCATCAAGTCATAAAAGGAAAGCAGAGATCTCTACCTTACAAAGAAACCGAAGAGGAAATTTGAGGCTGTAGATGGAGTTGGCGGTAGTTGGTGTTTAAGACGAACAAGAACAAGAAGTCTTCCTGGGAGTTGCACTCTGCGAGCTCTCAACGGCGAGAAACGGGAAGATTTTTTTTTAAGAAAACGCGAGAAACGGGAAGATGAACAGAGAAGAGTAGATAATTCTTCGTAACAGACTGAAAAATATTTGGGCCCCTTCGACAAAAAAAAAATTAACAGATTCTTTTTTGGTACAACCCATAGCCCAGGTGAACAGAAAGCAAATGGACCCAAAAATTGTGGACTTTGTTCAAAGGCCCAAACCCGTAAGCAGGAAAAATGCTCCTGGATTTTGCAGCAATAGTGGCAAAATGTTCTAGGGTAGTTTCTGGCTTTCTGCAATGAAGTTGTGTTATACGGGGTCGTTTGGAAGTTGCGATAGTTTTGTTGAGATTGTCATTATGCATGCATTGTTTACAATGCATCGTTTTTTTGTTTTTTTAGCAGAAACAATACATGGATTGTTTCTGTGATGTGACAGAAACTATCACTCATTTTGAGTGATTGTTATATCTCAACTTTTCGTTGTGATTGTTGAGATAGTTGAGTTGAGATTGTTTTGTCTCAGCTTTTAGCTGATGCGACCTACACAATCACACATACCAAACGTTGTATTCTACAATGCATCAAATTCGACAATACATGTATAATATTATACATGCATTCTCAACAATACATCTATTTAACAATCGCAACTTCCAAACGACCCCAATTTAGTGAACTGCTGAATAAATCTCCAAGCTGCTTTGGTACATATGGAATATTTTCCAGGTTCATAATGACGTTGTTGAAAGTGCGAAATATGCGCGCCGCTATGGACAGTGGTGTAGCCAGTATTCTATTGAAGGAGGTGCAATAAATAACTTTACATATTCGATTTCATGTTTGAGATTATTCTTAAACTATATGAATAGGTCAAACTATCAAGATTTCACAGTTAATGTATCTCACCAAACAACTATTCATAATTTCATTCACTTAATGCCAAAGCTAGTAAATAGTTTCATTGCATAAAGTATTATCAACTTGTGGTGTGCATTGCCTAGCAAATCAAATATATTGTCACAAGCAAATATATTAATGAAAACTAATTTTCTATTCCAATTATCGTTATCATAAAAAATTAATAATTTTCTCTAATAATTTGCACCTCTTATCCATCTTGATAACCTAGAATGTAGAAATTAGCAGAGAAATTAATTTATATAGTTTGTTTTGGTTTGACGATAGAAAATTTCACTATTGACAATTGAGAATTTAAATATCATTATTAACATACTCATACTATTGATCTTTTGTGTTTTTCTCTAAATCTAAGGGGGTGCTCTGTAGGGGCGTAACCAGGATTTTGGCGAGGGTGGGTTCATTTAGAAAAAAATATTTACTATAAAATAGTTTTGTTAGCTTTTTAAACCATTCATGATATAATTTTATATTTAAAAAATCATGGTAAATTAAATATTTGTCAAAACTATCAGGAATATCACTTCATATGTATCAAACAATTATTTATGATCTGGTTAGACATTTGCTTTTGAACGATGTTCTTTGTCAAGACCGTTTAGCATCAATAACTCGAGTTATTGGGTTAGATTTAATAACAGACCTTATAGTATTTAGTATTTACTAAGACTTCCCTATTACCAAAATCAACTTATATGTGCTTAAAATTTTCGCAAATCCGAATATCTTGTGACTTGTGCTTAAAAAATTAGGTCGTCATTCTCAATTTGAAGTGCCCTAAATTTCATTCGTAATTAACTATTATACTAATTTATTCATTTTTGCCCTTTTGGAGCCACTTGTTACACTCTCCTATTCCTGATTGAAATAAAAGTATTTTTACAAACTAGCTATGATTGGGTGAATTTTTTTGTAGATATTGAATAAGTAAAACTCTAATTTTGGGCGGATCATGGTGCATTGTCATTTGTCTGTAGCTCGTTATATGCCAATACACATATAAATCATACATAAAATATTTCAAAGGTCAATCATTCTCATTGAAATACGTATTATTTTTCATATCCAATTAACTATTATACCTAATATATCATTTTATCTTCCGAACCCACCCTTTAACCTTCTGCCTCTGCCCCTGGTGCCATGGAACCCCTTAATTAGCCTTTGCCACCCCTGGCTATGGAGGTTATGTGATAGGTCCGGTCGGACGTGATTCGTGAAGAATTCTCGTCTCTGACCTTTTCCAGAGGTCTCATCTCGATCTCCATAGTCTCATCTTACATAGTCACGCCATCAATGGACAGATAAAGGTTGACCAACGTTAAGTCAACCGTTAAATCTAACGGTCAACAAAAATTCTCATATAAAAAATCACACAAACACACAATAAGTTGTAATATTAATGTATTTATTGAAGTTACATAATATAAATGACGCTTTCACTAAAAATTAATATTTACAGTGATATTAGCCCTTATTCATTTGATTCCCCGACACCAAATCACATAACGAACCACGAAACCAAAAACGCAAGCGAGTGGTGTCGTTCCTTGTCGGTTTGGAGGTTGGTTGGACTACTGGAGCCTGGAGGAAGTTGGGAACGTATCCAGAACCAGATCCAGAGCTTGTTGACTGGCCCATCAAATCAAAGGCCATCAGCTTCCTTCCCTTCCCTCTCTCTGGGATACGCACCGCCACAACACCACAAAATATGGTACGGTGGCCCACGGAAAATATAATTAAATAATTAATAATTAACGACTCCCTTTTCCTCATGCTCTTCTTCCTTCCACACTCCCGTCCCTCCCCGCAGCAAGCAATCTAACACCAAAAGGAAACGAAGAACAAAGGAGCAAGAGGGAGATAGCTTATCGATCTGACAAACTCCGGTACTGACACTTTCCATTTGCGATCGATTCGGTTGGAAGCGAGAGGAAAATTTCCAGCATCCGGATCGGAGCAGAATCGAGATGAAGGATGACGATTCTCTTCCAACATCGACGGCGACGGGCAGCTTGTTGAAGAAGGACACCTCCGATTCCTCTCTCTTCGGGAAAGGCAGGTACAAGTTCTGGGCCTTAGCTGCCATTCTTCTCTTGGCATTGTGGTCCATGTTCACCGGAACAGTCACCCTCCGCTGGTCCGCCGGCAACCTCAACCGCCTCTCCGACGACATCGACACGCCTATCCACGACGATCTCGACGTCCTTGTAAAAATTATCTCCCTCTCTCCATCCTGTGTTCTCTGTCCTTTCGGTTTGTAGGTCGGATCTCGGCTGATTAGGTGGTGCGGGGTAATTTTGTAGGAGATGGAGGAGAGGGAGAAGGTGGTGACGCATATGTGGGATGTCTACACTAACAACCGTAGGATCAGACTACCGAGGTTCTGGCAGGAGGCTTTCGAAGCTGCCTACGAGGACTTGACCAGCGACGTCCCTGGAGTCAGAGACGCTGCCATTACCGAGATTGCTAAGATGTCTGTGCGATCGATTGATCTTGATCCGCCTCCTGCTCAATCCACGGTGAGTGAGACGCCATTAACCCCTCCCACTCCTGCTCGAATTTGCTTTCTGATTTCTGTTTCGGAAATGTCCATTTGAATTAAACTATCAACTAGTTCTTTAGATTGGTGGAATTGCTGTTTGTGTGGGTGTAGTATTCTTTTGAGAAGATCTACAAATTGAATAGGGGTAGGATTTGTGGTTTGATTGACGGTGCCGTTTGGATCACAGTCTTAGACATATGATTCTATGGCAGTATCTGATGTAGAATTTAGCAGACCGCTGTCTTGCTTTTCAGTCACCTACAATTGCAGTATGGTAACTATTTGTTCTATGGCCAAACAATAGTTCATTCACTGAGTTTAGATGGGTTTTTGCCATGTCTTGCATGTTTTAGACTCTGCATTAAGTGTAGGCAAGCAAGTGAGAGCTGGTTGCTTGGTTGAAGGTGAATTTGTGCGAGGATAGAAGTGAGAGCTGGTTTGCCCCTTGACAAGAAGTGCTTCATAAATAAATCTAAGTCACCCTTATCTGGAAAAAAGAAGTGCGTAAACGGTCACTGTGAATCCCTTGACTACCAACTTGTGGAATCTGTTAGATCGCTCGGCAGAGTTCATGGTTGAGATAAGCCCATAGCAGTTCTTTTAACCGTTTTTCTCTTGGGAATTACTCAATATGGTGTTGGATTCAATTGCCAAAAAAGAAAACAGCAGTGATGTTAGTTGGTTTGGTTGCAATGAAAGGCATACTTATCTTTTTCCCCTCATGGATTCACAGTTTGTCCTTCACCAATGTAGTGCATATTCTCGAATAACTGTGTTCCTCGTTTGTGTGCCATGAAAGCTTGCACCCTTTGTATGCTATGGTACCCAATATGAAGCTCTGAACTTTACCATTTCTATGGTGTTTCCCGACTTAACTGAAATTAAAACCTGTTTCTTTTCCTATTAAAGAGCTTTCAACTTCGTTCTCTTTTCTTCCTTCTGGTTCTGGTTGCGTATTTTGTATTGAAAAACGTTGGTGTTTGCTCATTTAAGTCTAGATTTCGTTTTCACTGGAATTCATTCATTGTGAATTAAGCTCTCTAGATTCAAATTTGAGATGTTCTGTTAATATACCGCCACCGTCAAGTTTGACCCAGCATCAGAAGCAAAGAACATGAAGTTTGAGGAGCTCTTTGCCTCATAAAACTTAGTTAAGTTGAGATGATTCTTCAGACCCTCACTAAAAACTTTATTGGATTTCGTATTCTGGCGTATATTTTTTCTGGTGAATGATACTGCCGATCCACTGGTTAATGTATTGAGTACTTCTATCGCTACTTGCTAGTGATTTAATTTACTTTTATTGTCTCTCGAATATTTCATCATTGTTTTGTCTGTGCTTTGCCCTTGACCTTTGCAACAAAGCTTCACAAGTTTTCTGTAGGCAATGCATTTGACATGATACGATTATCCTCTACAGAATGCACGGGAAATAAGCAAGAGTCTGAAGCTGATGGGGAAAGGTGGAGGTGCTGCAATGAGTTACCAAGGAATCCACCGATGAACAGAAAAGAAATGACAGTTCTTTCTCAGAGGAACTGAAGCTTCCTGCCCTTCTATTTCTCTACCAACACTCACTAGTTCTTCAACGAACTGAACGAGAAGTTTGTCGGAGTTGGTGAAGAAGCATCACACTAGCAGTTCTTCCTCCTGTTTACAGCGGATGAAAGGATCATGTACGTACTTAGGTTTTCATTCCACAGGAAGCTTATGGATATAGAGATATTTTCGATATCAAACGCGATATATGTTACCGTTGCTCGATTAGTAGATCAATCACTTTACTACGAAATTTTGATTCTTTTTGTTCTTTTACCATATTAGATTTGTTCCTATGTGAATGATTCACAGTGAATCCCCAGATAGAATGGGTCACTGCTCTGTTTCAAGTCTTTGATAGTGCTTGTAGAATGGTATGAAATTTGTTTTGAATTTCAGGATAGCAGAGTTCATTACCCTTCATTTGCCCCTGTTGCCCTGATCATTTTATGCAACAAGTGCGCTACTGTTTGTATTGGGCCCAACCCGCAACGCTCTCCAGCCCATTTCCATTATGAGTGAACTGAATTGGTTTGAACTTTAGCGGCGCTGCACAGACTTCACAGTTCACCCTTTCACTTATCGAATTCCAACTCCACCGTGGGAACCAAAAACAAAAGCAAAATGCTCTCATTATCTTCACCACCGGCGGCAGCCACAATATCGACCTTCTTCCATTCCAGGCTCCGAGTTCCTAATGCCGCTGCCGCCAGGGTGTCAAACCAGCACAGACGGCGTCTCAGCGTGGTGGCGAAGGCGGAGGAGAGCGGCGGAGTGGGCGCGGTAGAGAAAGCTGCAATAGCAGGGGGATTGATCGCGAACCCAGTGATCGCTTGGTCGCTCTACACCCTCAAGACCACCGGCTGCGGGCTCCCGCCGGGGCCGGGCGGCTCCATCGGGGCGATTGAGGGAATCAGCTACTTGGCGGTGGTGGGAATCATTGGGTGGTCGGTCTATACCAAGTCCAAAACCGGGTCGGGTCTTCCCCAAGGCCCGTTCGGGTTGCTTGGAGCCGTGGAAGGGCTGTCTTACCTGTCGTTGGTCGCGATCTTGGTGGTTTTCGGGCTGCAGTTTCTGGGTACAGGCTACATTCCGGGTCCTGTTCCGGTTCCCGGCGATCAGTGCTTTGGGTGAATAGAGCTGAGGGAAGTAAATGTGTTCTTATCTTGAATGTGTGGTGGCCTTTAATTTTTTAAGAACCCTTGTATACCCAAAAATGAAAATGGAATATTTCTTGGTTGCCACTGGTTCATTTTCTTGCTACCCTTTCTGTGTTCAATTCAGGAACTTACTGCCTCCGCCTCGAAGGGATGTCTTTTTTTTTTTTTTTTACAAAAAATAATCACTATATTATCAAGAGCAAAAGATAATTACACCCAGAAATTCAGCCAGGTCTGGAAATCAAAGAAACGACAAGCAGTCGGGTACAAACTGAGGGCTTTTCTAGCCACTAAATGGGCAACCCTATTACTACTCCGACCTACAAATCGAACATTAAGCACATGATAAGTCGAAAACACCCCGATGAGTTCCGCCAACACCGACCCTACCCGACTATCCCTCGCATCCCGTCGAGTGATCTTATCAATGATGACCTGAGCATCTCCTTGGAAACTAGTCTCCAGAAACCCCAACTCCAGACACCACCGCACAGCCTCTCGCAGAACCAATAATTCTGCCACCAAAGGGTCATCAGTATCAGGGAATTGAAAGCCTCGAGCCATAAGGACACTGCCTGCGAGATCCTTGATTACAATCCCACCTGCCGAATGAGATCCAGCCCTCGTCGCACCATCCCACATACAAACAATGGAATGAGTCGTACTGACAGGTCCAACTAGACCATCACGACAAGCAGTACTCAGACTTTTTTCAACGGGAAGAGCAATCCATTCCTGGAATTGATGATGAAACTGTCGCATAAGCGAAGGGATCCCAAACTGTTTGCCCTAAAAAACAACCCAATTACGGAATCGCCAAATCCGCCGAGCTACCACCGCCACAAATAAATTGGGCTGATTAATTTGGGTCATCAGCTTCCTCAGGAACAGCTCCATAAAAAAATCGATCAATACAGGGAATGTGTGTCGGCCTTTGAATTTGAGTTTCCACATTCGAGGATGCTATAGAGGGAAAAAAAACTTCTGGGACTTCAGTAGAAAGTCCGTAAAAGTTCATGAGCCAAAAGTTATATACATGGCTACAGGCCCAGCCCAGCCCAAACTAAACTAATCCTTTAGTCCCTAATCTAGATTGATTCCTTTCCCCGTTTTATTTAGGTTTTACAACGACAAATAAATAATGATTTTCCCCGAACCCCACAAATCTTCTTTCTGTTTAGTTCTTCCATCCTCCTCTGACCTCTGACGTCTGACGTCCACCACCGCCGCCAGGAGCCCCGGTTAGATCAGCCAGCCGCTCTGTTCTTCAGTCGTTTTCGCTTGACGGCTCTACTGTCTCGATCGTCTCCTCCAATTCGTGTTTAGGGCTTCCGGCTGCCGCTGTAGGAGCCGGTAGCTTCCGCCCAGGGGAGACTCCCCCGTCGGCGATCTGCTCTCTGTTGGCCGCCCGCCTGCCCCACTCTCGTTGGAGGTCTGGATCACTGAATCAGTACAGCTTCCGTTTGAACAATCTCTGTACAGGTTTCATCTCTCTCTCTCTCTCACTCTCTGCATTACTATCGTCGTCGGAATTCGTAGTTTCTCTTTCTCTAGTTGACTATGGATTGGATTTCACCTTTCGGTACAAATTGCTTCCGTGGTTCTTTCTCGCGCCGTCAGACTGTTTGGTTGCTCGGGAAGTTTTCTGGGAGGTAGAAATTAATAAGTCAAAAGAGAACTCTTGCTGGAAATTAGTGTTAGCAATTCATTGCAATTTGTTTTAGGGTTTTTCTGTGTTTGCAGTTTCTGAATCCATTCGTTTATGTGCGTTTCCTTATAATCCTGGTATGATTCAGTTTTGCTGCTCAAGTTTACGAAAAGTAACTGACATTGCAGACTGTTGATGAACTGCTCTACTCTTGTGTTTGTTTTTATTGAATACCAATCTCAGAATCAGCATTGAGGGTGCTTCTTAGTGAAGCAAATTTTCTTACAATCGATGTTCTTTCTTTATGAATCAGTGGTATGAGTGATTTGGTAGGTTTAGTTCCCTTAATTTTGTCTATTTGATGCAGTAACTTAGATCCGAATTCTGCAATGGATCGAGGAAAGAAGCAGGGCAAGTTCATTGCCAACAAGAACAACAAGATCTACATGGATCTCAAGGACATCATAAGAGAAGTAGCCCTTCCATTCCTTCCCGCCAAATCCCTCCGGCGGTGCACAACCGTCTGCCGTGAGTGGAAGCTGCAGATCTCCACCCCTTTCTTCGCCCACAGCCAGTCCAACTCATTCCACGACTTGTCCGGATTCTTCTGTCGCTCCACCTCTGGCGAACCCACATTCATACCCTTGGACCCAATGGCATATGGCGTCGCTGACCCGTCCTTCAGCTTCCTGCCTGAACCGGTCCATGTCCGATGCTCCTCCAATGGCCTAGTCTGCTGCCAGGGCCGAAGCGGCCAGAAACCATACTACGTCTGCAACCCTGTCACCAAGCAGTGGACCAAGCTCCCTAAGCCCAATGCTGATCACGGGTCTGACCCTTCAATCGTGATCGCCTTTGAGCCCTCGCTGCTCAACTTTGTTGCCGACTACAAGCTGATCTGTGCATTCCCTTCTGACCTCGATGGCTGCGAGTTCGAGATATACTCTTCGGCCACAAAAGGTTGGAGAATCTCTAATGAGATCTGCTTCGGGGACAGTAAGCTCATGTCAACTCCAGGTGTGTATGCTGGTGGGAGTGTCTATTGGCGGTCGAAAACCAGAGGGATCCTGGCCTTCAATCTCACGAGCGAGCGGTCGACTATCCAGTCCTCATGCGGGTACAGTTACTCATCCTCTGGTGAGATCTGTGCTCTCGGGTTTACGAACGGGAAGCTCGCTGTTGCTTCCATCACTGGTCCCCAGCTGAAAGTTTTTCAACTGTCCAACACCTTCACCAACACGATGCAGATGAATAGTAGAGCCTCAGCTTGGAATATGAACCACGAGGCGGTGATCGAGTCTTTCCTCTTCGAAGGGAATCGGCTGGATCAAGCTAGCGCGATGTTTGTGGGCGGGGATACCGTGGTGATTAAAGCAGCCAAGGCGCTTGTTTGCTATAACATGAGAACCAGGAGATTCTCGACGGTAGCAGCTGATGTTGATTTCAACTCCAAGATGGTTCCCTATGTTAATAGCCTCGTCGAGATGTGAGTCAGACTTTATAAGATCTCCTCTCCTCTCCTCTCTCTCGGCTCTGACTTTGTGAGTGGAACTCTGAGTCTGAAGCTTGAGAACTAGGAATAAAGCTCTCTAGATGGAAGTTCCCTGACTGTCCTCTCAAAAGAGTGCAGAATTTAGAATGGTTAACTGTGGTTGCTGATGTGTAAATGTGTTTTGGGGTACTTTTCCTGTTTTTTTAGGGTTGTTGCTGGGTCAGAATCTTACAGCCAATATTTCTGGATGTGAATTTATCTCGTTTCGATTTTGGTCTAGGATCCGGAACGATTCGCATTTGCTTCATTTCACGTTTCTCCGGTAAACTCCAACCGTCGAAAAATCGCCATCCAATGCAAGCTTCTCCCTTGTTCGAGGCTGTTTTCAAATCCTTGGATTGTTCGCCGAATTTCCATCATGGTGACTATATCTGAACTCAAATTTGCGACCAGAAACTCCCCAATGTGATTTTCTCACAAATTCCTCCAGTTGTGTACAAAAGGTTCAGATTAGAAAACCCAACAGTAGTGCACAGGTGGTGAAGGCATCATCGTCAAGCTGAAAGACGGGATGTCAAAGAGCACTACTAAGCAGTAAGCATACAATTACACACCATTTTGGGCAACGGTTTGGAGGCGGGGACAACCGAAATCCTCTCTGGCGTTCCTTTCGATTCAAGCAACGTGGTGGAACTTCAAATTAATTTGGCAATGGCAATAGCAATTCCGCGAAACGGCCGAGAAGCCCGCGGCGGAAGTAGAAGGAGATTAAGTCAGTGACGTACGTCACGCGAGTCTCGGCGATGTGAGTTCTTCCACCTGCGGCAAACTTGACCTTCACGCAAGCTTAGACTTGAAACGGTGGGGCGCCAATAAGACCTCGCCACGTCACCCGACGGAAGTCTTCCTCCAGTCTACGCCCCTTCGTGCCAATATAAGCAAACTTTGTACGCAGGCCCCCCCACACTTCGTTCAGTAAAGAAATCTGTTGGCTTTGGGCTCTCTTCGAAACAGAGAAAAGACTAGTAAACTCGCTGTCAACTCCCTCGCTCCGGAACTGCTCTAAGATTCTGCCGCCGCCGATCAGCAACTTTCCCCCCTTACTCCGGCGGCGATCGAGTTTCTGTAAGAAGCTTTTCCGAGAAAAAAAAATTTCTTTCTCGTCTGCTCTCTGTTTTTCCCGGAATTCAATTGCTCTCTCTCTCTCTCGCTTCGATGCTTGTGCGTTTCTCTCCATTCCCCCCTCCCCTCTTCGTTTAATCTCTTTGTTGTTCTATCCATAATGTACCCTTTTGATTCTCCTGATAGTTGTTTGATTGCGAAAATTACGTCTACCTTACCGGGAGAAAGAAAATTCTGCTGTTCTCAAGGGTTTTGTGGGCTTCACTATTAGGGGTCCTCTGTTTTCTGGGTGGTTATCGTTTCTCTCTGTCGATTCTTGATGTGGAAAGTGAATATTCGTTAGTTGGTTTCTATGATTCCATCGCTTTTTCCCCCTTTCTTGTTCCTTTCTTACTGATTGGACTCCGGGAAAATTGAGTTAGTAAAGGATACGCTGCTGGGGGCTTTGGTTTTATGACGTTCTCTGTTTTCTCCGGCTATAGCTTTTCTTGAATTCCAAGTCTTATCTGTTAGCTTCTTGGGTTTCTGGGTTTTTTTTTTTCTTCTTCTTTCCCTCAGGGTTTTGTTGTTGACTTGGCGTACTGGTCTAGTTCTCTGCGTAAGTTGAACGAAACAGGGTAGGGTAGGGGGCGGGGTTATTGTCTATCCCTCTGGAGGAAATTTCTCTGATGATTGATCACAAATTTCCGTCGTCTTTTAATGGTCTTTAATTCTTGTTGCTATTCACTTTATTTCTGGTTGACTGTAAATGGAAAGAACGATCCGGTTTCCTGAACTGTGAGATTGATTCTTGTTGAATAGTTGAGGGTAAAAGTAAATCTAATTCCCATCTCTCTTTCTTTCCCCTGTACTATTCTGCCATACCTTCACTCCCAAAGCACCCTTTTTCATATCGATCACACTGACTGGTCTGAATCCCTAGGAGAAAAGAAACAGAGGGAAGATGGAAACCTCCGAGACTGAAAGGATCGTGATGGAGGATTTGGATGGTGGCTTCGTCCTTGTTGATTTCGAAGAAACTCTTGCGGCAAACGACGGAAATCATGAGGAATTGCTGTCTGATGACGACGACGACGAATTGAGCTACACCAACTCTGTTGTAAGTTCTTCCCCAGATCCTCTTCTAAACTCTGCTAATCAATTCCCTTAAGTTTCAAAATCTGAATTTCCCGTCCCCTGCCTTGCAGACTCTGACGATCACCCCTGAATTTCCAAGGAAGAGATGGGCAGTGAACATCCCACCAAGGGAACAACGAATCAAGGACGTAATCAAACTCCTTGTCCTCACATATCTGCCTGCCAAGTCAGTCTGCAGATTCAGAGCCGTGTCCAGAGACTGGAACAGCTGGATATCCGCGCCATTCTTCGCCCACGAGCAATCGCTTCGCTTCACCAAAACCTCCGGCCTCTTCTCCCAGTTCCCAGGAGAAAACCCATCCTTCACCGCCCTCGATTGGCGCTCCTCTGGGGTTCCAATTCCATCCCTCAGCTTCTTGCCAGAAAGAGTCGAGGTTCGAGCCACCAATGGCGGCTTGCTCTGCTGCAGAAGCCATCTAGGGTTTTACTACATCTGCAACCCAGCCACCAAGCAATGGACCAAGCTTCCGGAGCCGAATATGTACCACGGACCCGAGACAGCTCTGGGGCTCACCTTCGAGCCTTCTCCATCCAGCTACTCTGCAAACTACCAGCTCGTTTCTGCTGTTGTGGCCGCCAAGTCCTCGGCAATTGATGATGACGATGAGGATCGTCTCGTGGTGGTCTCGTTCGAGGTCTACTCCTCGAGGTCCGGCGAATGGAGGGTGTGCGATGCAATGTACTGCGATGGCGATTTGGGGAACCCTGAGTTCGTCGGGGACGGGTTGTACTTGAATGGGTTTGTGCATTGGGAGACTGGAAGTGGTAAAGTTCTCACCTTTGATGTGAAGAACGAAGACTGTGGCGTAATCAATCTGCCACTCGGCCATGGCCCTCAGGGTTCGTTGGGGGTTATGAACGGAGAGCTGTGCTACCTTTTGCCGAGTATTCGCGGCGGGGAGGTGGACGTAGAAGAAGAAGGAGATGGTGCCCTCGAGGAGGTCTGGTCGCCGGTGATTGAAGTGTATGGAGATATGGACATGAAGCTGAAGCGTGTGATCAATGTGAACTGTGGTGCAGGGGAGTTCTGTGGCAGAGCTTTGGCTCTCGTTGGCGACAAGGTAGCGATTGCAGTTTTTGGGAACAAGGTTGTGGCTTATGATGTGGAAGCTGAGAAGGGGGAATGGATTGGGAATGCGAGGGAAGATGGGTTTGAGAAGTTTCTGCCGTATGTGAACAGCCTGGTGGATGTAAAGGTTGCTGGATCTGGAGATATGGTTTGTGCTTGGTAAAGAGGATTAGTCTGTGGGAGACGCATTAGGAAGGATTAGTCTGTTGACTCGATAGTATGGAGTAAGAGCCATTTTGGACATAAGTTGATTGAATCCAGGGTTGAATGTGATGGATGCATAGTTTGATTTGGTTTTAACTTTTCAATTTCTAAGGTTTTGGTACTTGGATTTTGATTCCATTCCTTGTAAATAAATAAGTCAATTGGCTGATTGGGATGAAATGAGGTTCATATAAATTTCGTTTATGATATTTTTTTATTTGATAGTATATCGACTTGGTCGGAATTGAAACACAATTCTTTGTATTCTTTATCAAATTTGTGCTATAGTTATTGAAGAGTAAAAACACATCCTTATGGAAGCAAAATAACCTTTTTGTTTTTGTTTTGTAGATATTCCAAAATGAACAATCATATATAGACAATTGCACACAAAAAAGAGTTCATTTGATTTCACACAATACTTCCAACGACTTGAACAAGATAAGAGCAATAGTCAAATATATTCCAAAATGTATAGGGTTAATACACTAATTTGGCCCGAAGTTTAGTGTTAGTGACAATTCTAGCCATATTTTTCAAATAAGACATTTATGGCCCACTTTTGAAATTATTTGACAAATTTTGCCCGGAATTTATTTTGACCATTAAAACTGACGGTTAAACATTCTCACCGTTAATGACTGAGCAAAAACTACTTATGTGGCCGATGCATGATTGCCACATCATCAAATAATAATTTATTTAATTACCTGGAAGAAAATTAGAAGCAAAATAAAACAAATCAACAAATAAAAAAATAATAAGTCAAAGTCCCGGGTCAAAATCCCTTATTTTCTTCTCTTCTTTCTTAACTCACGGCAGACAATCCAAAGTGCCCAAGAACTCTCCACCACCACCAGCAGCTAGGAATGGCAATGGGGCAGGTCCGGGGCGGGTTTCTTGGTAACCAGACCCGCCCTGTGGCAGGTCGGGTAATTTATCACGGGTCGCAGGTCGGGGCAGGTCGACCCATTGGTATGAAATTTATATGAAAAATATTAGAAATAGTCGTTATTTTTATTATAAGATCAAGAAAACAAACAATATTATGATAAATGTAGTTAATTTCTTGGAGAAATTGAGGTTTTCACTAATTTACAACTTTATTTTAGCTAAAATATTATGTAATAAAAGGAAAATCCTAAGTAATTTGACTAAAATTACATGTAATTTAGGAAAGAACGGGTCGATAATAGGACGGGTCAGGGCAGGTCGGGTCGATGAGAGTACCCATGCCCGCCCCAACCCAAAACAGGCCAAACAGGTCAAGTAAAACGGGTCAGGTCGAAATTGTCATCCCTACCAGCAGCTCTTCCCTCTCCGGTAGGGGAGCTTCTAGATTCACTCTTCTCCGACGGCGGTGTAACTATAAAGAATAAGCATTTCATTCTTCCTAGGAACCTGGTCTTGCGAGAAGCTACTAGCAACGAGGCTCTTCCTCCTCCTCGTCCGATTTCCGTACAAGGAGAATGCTCTGCTGCCGCTGTCAAGCAGCCGTCGGCGTTGAATGAGAAAGAAAGGAACATATGAAGGAGAGAACAGAGGAAGGAACTTCCGGTCGGCGTTCCCCTGAATCAGCTCGACATTTCCCCATCCGTCGTTGCAATCACCGTCGACGTGGCCCATCAAGCTCGACCTTTGCCGCATTCCCGACGCGCTCTCCTAACTCGTCGCATCGCTGTCCTTGTTCATCGCCCCAAATCCGCCGTCGTCAGGCAACGCACTGATCGATGGCCGGCGACCCAGGTGTAGGGAGTAAAATCCCCTGCCTCAAGATCCGTCGCCACCGCAGCCGGATTTTTTGGGTTTGAACCATCAATGGCTCTTCTCGTCCGAAGCAGAGGCAAGCTGACGAGGGAGGAGCATTTCCGACCTTTTTCATCATCAAGCTGGTGGGTATCATCGGCTATGAGTGAGAATAAAAGAATGAGGGAGATGGGCATACTTCCTCTGCGGCGGTGGCCATTTTGAGAGGAAGAAGAAGGAGAGAAAGAGATGGGTAGGTTAGGCTTTTTTTTTTTTTAATAAAAGGAGCAGAGAGAAGTCTTTGTCCATTTCTTATTTAATGTTTTTTATTTTTTTATTTTTAATTAAAAAGTGACGTGGATGCCACTTCAGCCCTAGATGCTGAGTTATTAACGGTGAGAATGTTTGACCGTCAGTTTTAACAGTCAACATAAATTTTGGGCCAGATTTGTCCAATAATTTCAAAAGTGAGTCATAAATGTCTTATTTGAAAAATGGGGTCAGAACTGTCACTAACGCTAAACTTCATGCCAAACTAGGATATTATCCCAAATGTATATATATTTTATTTTGCACTTTTCACAATTAATTTAACGTGGGGGATAAGGACTTGATTTATTATTTTTTTATAAAAAAATCATTTATTTTTTTTGAAAATGAGAGTTTGTTAATGGTTATGGAGATTGGGCAAGCGAGGTTAGAGGGAAGAAATGACAGAAAAATCAGGACAACCTACAAAAAAGAAACAAGAACCATATAGCCATGAATAGTAAACAACGAGAAAGACCAAACAAGACAGACCCAAGCAAAAAAGTAAGAAAGAAGGAGGGTTGCTTTGTTTTGTGTTTTTTTGGATTGATCTCTAAACAAAGCAACTAATAGAGCTTAGAGATTGAGAGGGGAGGGGAAGCCCCAACTTTGTAGGAAAAAACAAAGCATCGGAGCTACCGGAAGGGCTTCCCTTTCTTCCTACCACTGTCTCTCTATGTTCTTTTGCTAACACCACCTTGCCCCCTTTTCTTTTCTTCCCACTCTTTTTCGATCCTTTCAGAGGGATTTTCATCGCAACCTTTTTCTGCTCCCCTCTCCAGGTAATTTACATGAAAATGCTGATTTAATCTTGTGAAAGATGTATGATATTTATTCTACATGCTTTCTTAATAACTCAAATTATCAAGGAAAATATTTCGATGGATGGAACATTGAAAAATTCACAAATTGAAGAAGGTCAAGGAGATTCATTTTTACATAAGAAAAATGGAATCCACGAGTTAAGAAGTGGAGGAATCAACGTGTTCGAGGTGTTGTATAGGGTACAAAAGCTTGATTGTAATCAATTGGTCTTTTCTTATCTTGAATATGGATGTGAAAACTTGAATGAAACTTGGGAATTTGCCAACAAAAAACAAAAAACGAAACTGGGAGAAAAAACTGGAGGAAAAAAATGAAATGAAGAACATATATACCATTGAGTTATTGAAGAAGAAACAAGAATTGATCTTATACTTGTAAAGATAATGGAATGAATATGTTTTTCCCATTAATATTCTGAATTTCTTGTTTTTTGTGTTTGTAACAGGGGTTTGGGATCGAGAGAGTGGCAATTACAAGGGAGGGGTGAATATTTTTTCGGCTTTGTTACTTCAAATGCCAAAAATTCTTTTGTCGAAGATTCACGAGGTAGAAAGATAAAAAAATCTTCTTTTCACAAGAAGGGAAAAATTAAAAAGATATGTCAAGCTCGAATAATGATGGATCCCCTTCAGCAACTCCGTCGACCACAAACTCACCCCCGAACCAATCAGATAATGGTTCAACAAACAACAACAATAACAACAAATCACCTCCATCAAATAACTCTCCACCGCAACCGAAGAACTCCAACTCACAAAATGAAAATCCAAACTTTGGTTCCCCACCAGCACCACCTCAACGTCGTGAAGAAGGCGGCGGCGGAGGCAACATTCAAAACAACAACAACAACCAAAACAACAACAATAGAAATGGCGAGACAAATGTTCACGAGATTGTAGCACCACCAGGAGCAGGTCAGCCATCGCACGAGAACAAAGCAATAGCGCCACCGGGAGTGGAGCAGTGGAAAAGCGCAACCAAAGGGTTAACCCAAGACCAAATTAAGCTAATTGCCGGAATATCTGCCGGGGTTGGGTTGTTCTTCATCTTATTGATAATCATTTGTTGCATTTGTTGTTGTCGGAAGAAGAAGAAGAAGAGTAAACAAGAACACATACACCATTATTACGGCGAGTACCCAATGGGTCCCCCACCAGAGCAGTACTATATGAATAGCGGCCAACACCCTCCACCTCCTCAAAAATGGCAACAATCGCAACCACCGATGGGGATGAATTACAGCGGTGGACAGCCTGGGACCGGGTGGCAAGGTGGGCCTCCTCCGATGATGTCCAGTGGGGACATGACTAGCGCCAATTACTCCAACCTCCAGCCGCCGCCCCCGCCGCCAACGATCTCGGTTGGTTTTAATCAAAGCACTTTTACATTTGAGGAGTTGCAGGCTGCAACGGGCGGGTTTGCACAGTCAAATCTGTTGGGGCAAGGTGGGTTCGGGTATGTTCATAAAGGGGTTTTGCCTAATGGAAAAGAAGTTGCGGTAAAGAGCTTGAAATCTGGCAGTGGGCAAGGTGAGAGGGAATTCATGGCAGAGGTTGAGATTATCAGTCGGGTTCATCATCGACATCTTGTGTCGCTCGTTGGGTATTCGATTACTAATCAACAGAGGTTGTTGGTTTATGAGTTCCTTCCTAATGACACTCTTGAAAATCATCTCCATGGTAATTAATTTCCCTATCTTTCTCTGGTTTTTTCTTCTTCTTCCAATGGATAAATTTGGGCTAGATTAATAGCATGTTTTGGCAATTGGGATGAAATATGACAAGGGTCCTTAATTTATTGCATTTAGATAGTCTTATCATAATTTAGGTTTTCTGGATGCATACAGTAGTAATTATGAACAAAATCATCACAAGGTGCATCTAATATTCTTATATCTCATAAGAATGTAATGGCCATACGCCCACTAGAATTACTACGACATATTAAAGCTATAAATTATTGTTAAATGCATCTAATAGTCATGGGTCTAAAATGCACAATCCAAGCTCATTAATGCATTAGGCCGTCGTATAATTGATAGGTGTATGTTGGATGTGGTGCATCATGAAAGTCTGTCATTACATGAAATGGAAAATATATGGTTTAATAGGAATTATCTATGGAAGATTTCATTGTTATACATTCATTTTTAAGGCAGTATGATTTTACAATCCTACTCATTAAGAAAGAGTTAAAATATAAACCAATATGATAAAATTAAGAATGATCTATGGAATATATAATTTTACCCAATTCTTTTTACTTGTCGAATGAATGAAGAATTATTCACATTTCATTGGAAGAAGAATTTCAAAACCTCATACTTGATGTATTAAAAATGAAATAAGATATAAAATATCATCCTAATATTTTGGATAGCTTAGAGATATAATTGAAATTTTTTTTATAAGAGAGATACAATTGAAGTTGATTGGTAATATCTTTGGGATGTAGGGAGGGGCCGTCCAGTTATGGATTTTCCTACTAGGCTCAAGATAGCATTAGGCTCTGCCAAGGGACTCGCCTATCTCCATGAAGATTGTAAGTTACAAAAAGTTCTCTTGTAAGTTCTACTTTACTAATAAATTTTAACGTGTAAATCACTTACTTACCCTTTTTACTAGGCCACCCGAAGATCATTCATCGGGACATCAAATCTTCCAACATACTCTTGGACTTGAACTTTGAAGCTAAGGTATATATAGTTTGACTTATAATTCCTTGCCAACCTTTAAGCTTGAACTAAGGGTAAGTAACTAATATTGGCTCCTCCTTCCTATATGTTTCAGGTGGCTGATTTTGGGTTGGCCAAGCTCTCTACGGACAATCACACTCATATATCTACACGAGTGATGGGCACGTTTGGGTATCTGGCTCCAGAGTATGCATCAAGTGGGAAGCTGACAGAGAAATCTGATGTGTTCTCGTTTGGGGTCATGCTCTTAGAACTCATCACAGGGAAGAGACCCGTGGATCCAACCAATGTCATGGAAGATTGCTTGGTGGATTGGGTTTGTTTACTGAACTTAACTACTGACTAAATTGCTTCTAAATGTAAATTTGTTAATGTCTTCTTTCCCTTTTTCCTCAACTATTTCATTTGATTGGCATAGGCACGCCCTCTCATGACCCGAGCACTGGATGAAGGCAACTTAAATGAGTTGGTTGACCTTAAAATGGAGGGCAACTTCAACACTGGAAAGATGCTAAGAATGATCGCATGTGCCGCTGCCAGCATTCGCCACTCTGCCAAAAAGCGTCCTAAGATGAGCCAGGTAACAACTTTTGATAATTTCTTTTTGTCAAACAAGGTGACCATATTTTGAACCATTTGATGTGCATGTTTTGTATTTACGTAATTACACTATCAAAATGAAACCAAACAGATAGTGCACACGTTGGAAGGAGATGCATCTTTGGACGACTTGAACGACGGGATCAGGCCCGGCCAAAGTTCTATCTTTGGCGCAGCTGGGGGTAGTGGCGGCGAGTACGACATCAGTGCTTACAACGCCGACATGGAAAGGTTCCGACAAGTAGCATTGGCAAGCCAGGAATTCTCAAGCAGCGAACATGAGACCACTTCATCAAGCAGCGATTCTCGAGACATGGCACCGGCCGGCCTTCGCAAGTACAATTTGTAAACGGAACATACAACTGGTTGTAACCAACAAACAAAGCTCGACAAACATTGGAGGGGGATGTTAGAAGAGGAAAATGAGAGACGACTTTACTGAATAGAGTGCAAAAGAAAGAAAGAAATTAATGTTAGGCATTCCATTGAAGTCTTTTTTACTCTCAGTTGTTTTTGTTGTGCAAATGTATGTTTTTTTAATGGTAGGAAAAACCAAGAGGAGAAAGTATTGGAAAAGAACAAAGAAAAGAAGCGGAAAGAGGAAGACAAAAAAAAAAAGGAAAAAACAATTGTTAAGCATATGATGTTGGATCTTGATTTATAGTACTGACTGAAAATTTCTCTTTCTTTCTTTCATTTTATTATTTTCATAAGTGGACAATTAATTTCTCATTCATCCTCTTTGTGGTTTGTAACATTTGAGTAATGAAAAGTGGAGACACATATCCAGTTCTATATACTTACTTACATTAGTTTGTGTGATTTTTGCATTACTTAAGTTTTTAAAGTTTAGCTAATTTGTGCCTTGTGGCCTGTGGGGCTTTTAATTATGATTTTTTAAAATGAATTAATATACATGCATACTAGCGCCTTATTAAATATTTTTTATATTATGTTATATTGTCCATTTGTTTCTCCTATTTAGACTGCACTCGTTATCACAACTTCTTGATAAAATAAAAAATTCATAGTTTTTGTAAAGTTACAAATATGGCATTATCTTATTTTTAGGGCTAATACCACTAGGAAACCCGAACTATTAACTTTGTGTCATTTGTGTCATAAAGTATTCGATATGACAATTGTGTCCCAAACTATTTTTCCGTTATGGTTGACCGGCGTTGACCGTTAGTTTTTAACAGAAAGTCTAGTCACCGCTCTTATGTGGCATCTGACGTGGAATTTTTATTATTTTATTATATTTATTTTCTCATAAAAATGAATAAACTAACAAAAAGAAATAAAGAAAAGTTATAAAAAAAATTCAGATATGAAGATCTGCATCTCCGGGGAACAATTCCGGTGACGGTCGACGCGAATGAATTGCTAGCAGCCTTCTCGTCTTTGTTTGAGGGAGTTGACGAGCCAAACCATAGCTTTGCCGTCGAATCCGAGGGGAAGCTTGGATTGAGGATTGGAAATACAGACGAGCCACCCCCTATTCTTCTTCTTCTTCTTCTAGAGATAACAAAAATGCTGGAATTGAAAAAATCCCAAATTCAAAAACCTAATTCTTATCAAACCCTTACCCACCATAAAATCTGAGGTTGCGGCAGATTTAGTAGTTGAAGGGAAGATGAGGAACTGTGGTAGTTGCCTGCGGCGACCACTGAGCACGGCCGGATGGAGCCCATGAAGCTCTATCGGGGAGTGAGGCAGAGGCATTGGGGGAAATGGGTTGCTGAGATCCGTCTCCCCCGAAACAGGACGCGCCTCTGGCTTGGAACGTTCGATACCGCCGAGGAAGCCGCCTTGGCTTACGACAATGCGGCGTTCAAGCTCCGCGGCGACTTCGCCAGGCTGAATTTCTCAAGCCTCCGGCACCAGGGGTCCCACGTCGAGTGCAAGTTCGGCGAGTACAAGCCCCTCTATTCCTCCGTCGACGCCAAGCTCGAAGCGATTTGCCAGAGCTTGGCAGAGAACGGCGGGAAAGGAGGGAAGAAGAAGAAACCCTCGACGACGGTTGCAAAGAAGGCGGCTGCGGCTGCGGCAAAGGCCGCGACGGTGGTGAAGAGGCGCCGTTGGATTATGACACTAGGAACTTCAATTTGGAGAAGTGCCCTTCTTATGAGATCGATTGGGATTCAATTTGATAAAATAAAGGATGGGGAAGAAGGGATAGGGACGAGGTCCATCGTCTTCCACCATTTGTTCGGGTATGAAGAGATGAGGAAGAAGGGATTATTTTTTATTTTTTATTTTGTATTTTAATTGTTAATTTTAATTGTAATTTTAATTTAAAAAATTATAATCTGATGTGGCAGCTGACGTGGCGCATATGTGGCTGCCACATATGTGCCATGTAACCAAAAGTCAACATTTTATGGTTGACTGTTTGGTCAACCGTTATCTATAACGGTCAACAAAATTGTTAGGACGTAAATGACACACAATTATCATACGTCAGGACACAATTGTCATATCGAATACTTTAGGACACAAATGACACAAAGTTAATAGTTTGGGTTTCCCAGTGGTATTAGCCCTTATTTTTATTAATGTATATAAGTTTACGAGCGAATCTAACGAGACATGAGTGACTAGATTTAGGAACAAAAAGTGCCTAAATATCATTTTAATTTGTGTTTTACGAAAGAGAATGAGTCAGAAAAGAAGACATGTTGCTATTTAATGCCATGGATACCGGTTCGTAAATGGATTTTTTTGTCTGAATACTAGTTCTGTGCAATATGGATACTCTTTTGTGTTATCTGGATATTAGTTCGTGAATGTAAAATACGTATTGTTTTCATGCTGGATATCATTTAGCAAACATTGAAAACTAGTTGTTTTGAATGTTGATATTAGTTCGTAATTGATTGGCTTTTATACTAATTATGTGATGTTTGTATACTCTTATTTGTTGTCTAGATATTAGTTCGTGAATGTGGAGCTCTCTGGATACTAGTCTGTGCTCTCATGTATACTAAAATACTGCTTCATCATAGTGTGGTTACTAGTTCATGTATACTGATCGATATCAAAATGCTACCAAGTGTACTGATTTATATCAGCTAGCAAACCTTGAATACTAATTGGTTTGATTGTGGATATTAGTTGGTAATTGATTGGTTGAATATAGTTATGTGAATCTGGATGCTATATTGTGCTCTATGGATACAATTTTGTGCTCTATTGAATTTAGTTAATTAAAACAAAATCATACCAAGTGTTCAACAAAACATGGATACTACTTCAACTCAAGCGGATACTAGATCGTGCAATATGAATATTAGTCCGGGATGCTTTCTCTCTCCCGTGTGAGAATAGTTGGTGGGTGGCATTAAATACTAGTTTTTGAATTTTGGATACTAGTTCTCTCAATTGGATTAGCTCTTAGTCGAGAAGCCACCAAAATCCACTTAAAGGAGCTCTTCCTTGAGCCCAGCCCTTGGATCTCAGTTATGTCTGTGTGGCCTTCATCCTCACTGTGTGAGTATGTACTCACAAAAAGGGCTATGAGCACCATAGCTAGATTGACTACTATAGCACTTGCCCCCAATTTGTTACTTGAGTTCTTTTTTCCAGAATTGATCTCTTTCTATAAGATATAAATAACTTCATATAAAATATAAATGTGAAAACATCACTATCAAATATGCATTAAATACAGTGTAGTATAGTTGGTTATATATAGTGCTCTTCCTCGTTTGAGTGACGTAGATTTAAATTAAAATAATAACAGTTTTAATATATAAAAATAAATTGGACGTAATTACGAAAATTACATCCTAAAATAATTCACGGGCAAGAAAATTTGAAATGCGGAACAATATTTTTCATTCTACTTTACATATATGTGTAGATTTGTCTATCTTGAGCATGATTGCCATGCCGGTGGTGAACACAGCTAGCAGAGTGATCGATTTACGGTATCTAACCTAAATGATGTCATTTTAGTGAATTTTATTCAAAAATTCATTTATTATTGATTTTATGAATTAAAAATTAAATTTGATGTTATTTGTTGGATTCAAGTACAAACTTTTAGCTAGTGACATTAAATATTTTATTTAAATATGAGTATTTTTTATTTTATTTGGAACGTTATTTTTTATTTACATATAGATATGGGTTGTAAGCAAATTGTTTTCAAATATGATTTAAATTTATATATATGATTATATTCATTCGATGTTAATTATTTTTCATATTTCTACATCTTTTATTAAACGGACATGAACCGACATAAAATCAATTATATTATTGATCGAACAATTTCACTGGCTAACCGACACAACTGTATAACCCAATTTTAAAAACTTGATCACGACCTACCGAGCTAAAGCCAGGTTCGACACACTTAAAAACTTATTAGACTCGCCATAAGCAGCGTCTCGTGGGCCGTGGCCCATTACATAGTTAAGGCCTCGTATAAATTCAACTCACCTCTGATTCGCTGTTCACTAAGGATCCGGACTGTGGCCTCAAAGAGCCCTCCACCCGACGCCGACCCCAAATTCCGATCGGCCGAATCTCGTCTGCTCCTTCTCTGCGATTCCCGGGAGATAAAAGTTGAAGCGCGGCAAATTCGCTCCCGACGAAGACGAATAGGAGCTTAGCTTTTTCATCCCGTCGCCATGGGGGACTACACCGATGCGTTCATGCGCAACCAGAACACTGCCGTTCGCGGCGCCACCAAGGCGCAGAACCGAGCTAACGTTCTCCAGCTCAAACTGGTTCGTTCCCTTTAGAGCTAGGGTTTTCTCGTTCTCCGAGACTCATACAGAAACACTAATCACCGATTTGTGATCTATTGGCGTCTATCTTATCAGGGTGTTTTTCCTTCATCTGATTGTTTCTTGATGATAGGATGTTCATTATCACATGCTGCATCATTTCTCCATCATAGATACGGAATTTATCGATGGAATCCATCCGCAATAGTTATGTTATATCGCATTCTTGCGATTATGAAGCTGTTCTATGAGTTTCATCTTTATCCCGTCGTCAAATGCAATAAGTTATCTCTAACCGAGGGACAGGCGGGTTTCACAAATATTTCTAGTAGTTAGCTGTATATGGTGCTGCACACTGATAATTGTTGGTTAGAGAGGTTTGTGTAGTTAAGCTGTTTGGGTCTGGGTAAGTCGATGTTGAATGTTGTGGTTACTTTTTGCAGATTGGGCAAAGCCACCCAACTGGGTTGACAAACACCCTTTTGAAGCTTTTTGAGCCTCGTCCTCCATTGGACTTCAAACCCCCTCCTGAGAAGAGAAAATGCCCACCCTACTCTGGTATCACTTTTTTTTTTATATATCTTGATGGTATTGCTTAATATCTTCCCTTATGTGCATAGCTCTGTATTGGGTTCTAATCCCTCTGGTGTTCTGGGGTTTTGTCTCTTTTCGTTGTTTTCAAAGGTATGGCACAATTTGTGAGCAATTTTGCGGAGCCTGGTGACCCTGAATATGCTCCACCTGTTGAAAAAGCCGAAACTCCTGTATGTCTCCATCTTTCTGAAGTTCTTTCTGGAACTGTGTCTTGTTTTGAAGTTGCTCATTCTCTGTTTTTTTTGTACATTCCATAGATTTGAAATCATGATTTTGTTGTCTGTTTTATCCAGGCACAAAGAAGAGCCAGAATCCACAAGCTACGATTGGAAAAAGGTGCAGAGATTGCTGCTGATGAACTTAAAAACTGTGAGACTTTCGTTCTCTTGCCTGAATCTTATCTATATGCACAGAATAAATCTTGTAGTTCTAACATGTTGGTACACATCTTGTAGTTCTAACATGTTTGTACTCCTTTTCTCTCATCCAGATGATCCCACTAATGACTCGAATGTCTCAGGAGATCCGTACAAAACATTGTTTGTGGCTAGGCTTGTGAGTCTTACCTTTAGTTCTCTTTTTTTGCTTTTCAGTTATTTTATTTTTTTTGTTTATGGTGACTCTATCTAAGTTGCTTAATCTTTTCTTGCAGAACTACGAGACATCTGAGAGTAGAGTTAAAAGGGAGTTTGAGTCTTATGGACCAATAAAAAGGGTAGGTACTTTTGAATATAAGCAAGGAGGTTTGGTAAGCAGATATTTAACAATATTATTATTCACCTTTGCTAAACAGTTAAAGGATCCTAAATTCTTAACTAAACCTGAGGCTATTTGTTCCTATGTCTTTATTTCGCATGTCTGCCTCTGTGGTCACTTAAAAAAATTAATGTCATGCCAATTTTTCAAGTTCTAAAGCTTGTTCGAGAAACAATTATTAGTAAAACCACAGGTATGATTTGCCAAAGAAAAAGGTTTCTTCCGTTTAACATGTGGTATGTGCGCTGTGGTTAGTGCATTCTGTACTCAATAATATGGAAGACTGTTGATCTTCTCTCTAATTTCTAGCATCAGTGACTCGGGTGAAGTATGCAGGTCAGGTAATAGGACAGGTATCACTGCTTATTCACTGGTATTAACATGGATTTCATGAGCTGATCCTTTGATAACTCTGTTTGTTGTAGTTGGTTTTAGAAATTATCTTGGGATTAGGAAATGTTTCAGTTTCTAAGTAGTATGATCTGCTAAGATTCATGACAGTGGGAGATCTGTGGTAAGGGGTTTGTTTATTTTGTTCCTCAAATGGAAATCTAGGCTCTTTATTTATCTTGCCATTCCAAATGCAAAGATGTTGCCTCCTGCTGGTCAAGCTGAAAATCGTAATTGATCCGAGCTTAGAGCACTTGCCCTTTGTCCTATGCAACAAAAGAAGGCTGGCATCTGTTTTTTCTCCTACTCTTGGTAACAAAGTTGGGAGTATTAGCACCTCTTATCTCTTTATCTGGACTTATCATAGTACAATTTCTGCTACTAAAACTCTTACTTTTGACATTTAAGGCTACCAAAACACTTCAGCAATTGTGAAGATGTTCTTCTGGTATTTCCTTCATTTTCTTACTGTCTCCCAATTAGAACATTGCTCCCTGGTAAGGGGACGGTTAGTCTTTTCTGTCCAAGAAATGGTAAATATGGCACGATATATCAGTTTTACTGCAACTCTAGCACTGGCGGTGATGCATCTCACAATTGGCAGCCCTTTTATTGAAGGTGAGCACGGCTCATTAGGCTTAGTGCCTGTCTGCCGTGCCATTTTAGGAATTTGTAGTTCAAAAGTTTCCATAAAAGTGCACTCTATATGGAAAATAGGTGACAGAGATTCATTTTATTTTCTTTGTGCATTAGATCATTCTCTTGCTTTGAGCATTGCAGGTCCGCCTCGTGACAGACAAGGATACAAACAAACCTAGAGGCTATGCTTTCATAGAATATGTGCATACACGGGACATGAAAGGTTTGAGCTCATTCTTGTACATTATCTTCTACTCTTCTTCTGTATGGCTTTCTGATTTGTGCTTATATGTTTGGCAGCTGCATATAAGCAAGCTGATGGGAGAAAGATTGATGGTAGAAGGGTACTTGTTGATGTCGAACGTGGTAGAACCGTGCCAAATTGGAGGCCTCGCAGGCTTGGTGGTGGACTTGGAACTAGCAGAGTAGGTAGCGAAGAGGTTGCTACGAGGTACTTTGGGAGGCATTGTTTGTTGTGGTTAAATACTTAATAGCGTTGTAAACTGTAGCTGCATGTTGTCTCATCATATGTCCCTGATAGAGACCTAATTGGTTGTCTTGGGCTGTTCATTTTGCCAAATTAAGGATAAATTAACTTGCATCCGTAATTATTTTGATTGTTATATGTTTCTGAAAATGATATACTCGTTGTGTGTCATTGGAAACCATTTTGACACCGCCTGCATCATTAATTATCGTGGACATTGATCTGCTTCTGTTGGAGAAATTTATGTCTACTAAAATGTGCTTTGGTTTGTTTTTTTACAGAGAAGCTCAGCAACCTGGAGGTACATCACGATCTGAGGAACCAAAGGCTCGTGATGATCACCATGTTGAACGGTAAGTTGCCTCGTCTTGTTTGATTTATATAGAAGACAGAATGAAGGTTGTGTATATCTTGTTTAATTTACTATTTTTCTTTGTATGTTCTGTTCTGAATTTTTGTTTATATCCGACGGTGATCTATTATAGGGAGAAGTCGCGGGAGAGAGGGAGGGAGAAGGAGAGAGAAAGAGAGAAGTCCCGCGAGAGATCCCATGATCGCCCAAGGGATCGTGACAACAACAGGGAGGATAGGCATCACAGAGACCGTGATAGGGGTGAGAGGGAGAGAGAGCGAGGAGGCCGAGACCGAGACCGAGAAAGAGATAGTAGGGATGGCCGTCGCGATCGTGGTGGTAGAGACCACCGCGATCGGACAAGAGAGAGGGAGAGGGATGGCGGTGATGATGACCTTCGTGGACGCTCCCGTGATCGAGAATATGATTACCAACGTGACGACTCAAAGCATAATAGGGACCGTCGTGATTATGATGGTGGTGATGCAGAGGACGATCCTGGGTGGTACGATCAATCTGATCAAGGGGGACATAAGCGGTCTGTCGATGATCAACAACGATATAAGCAGTATGACCGTCATCGTGGTAGGGAGCAGCAATATGACGACATGGATGTTCAAGAAGGCGATCAAGACCGTTATGGCGATCAATACACTGCTGGCCGTGATCGATCATATCAGGTGGGTGATGATGATGATGATTACCGCTAATATTGGGGAAGAGCTTCTGCAAGGACATCGGGCTGGTTTTCAAGGGAATCCCACAAGACTTTCCTTGAAGCCTGTAGCGGTGAGATTGAGATGAAATTTGTTTTGAAGGTTTTTTTGGTTTCGTGTTTTTTGTACTGAAGAAAGGTCTGTTGAATTAGTTGCTGGGTGGATCACATTTGGTTGGTGTTTTGTGTCGCAAGTCTCAAGGTACTGGCTGCAGCCTGCAGGATTTACTTGGTTATCTGTATTGTTTAATGTGTTTCTCTGCCAGTTTGGTTGAAAGCTCCTATCTCTCTCTGTCTCTAATCTGTTTTATATTAGGGATATTGGTGGGTTGCATATTTGTATATTGGTGCTTAGTCTAGTCTGTGTCCTATTTCATAGAGTGAAAAGATACTAGAATTACTCAAAAAAAATTTCACGTTTGTCACTGAAATCAATTTATTCCATCCGTAGTCACTTAAATTAAGTTAACAGTTCAAGTTTGGTCACTGGCCGTTAGTCTCCGTTAACTTTTGCTGATGTGGCGGTCAACTCTTATAGTTGACCGTTAAATGAGTGACGTGGCAATTAAAATAATAATAAAAAATAAAATTTAATTATTTCATATTTTCCACCTAATTATTTTAAAAATTTAAAATAAAACCTAACTTGCCGCTAACTTCTCTTCGGTCACCGGGTTGAGAAGGTAAACGTTGTTGCCGACGGGGCCGAAGGAGGACCAACCAGCCGTCGCTGGAGCTCACGCTGCGGCTGGTCCCTATGTTTGCGAACGAGGCGGCCGAGTTCGCCGCCGCGATGATCGAAGGAGGGCGTGCGGTCCAGATCGGGGAAGAAGCGATGGCCGATGGGTGGAGTGCGGAGATGCCTGGAGTGCGGCGGCGGCAGCGGTTGTGGAGGAGGAGGTTTTTCTTGGACCCAGATTTCGAAATCGTTCCTGAAGCTTACCTGTCAAAATGGTACACGGCCACAAGCAAGGTCTACACTGTGACCAGGGCCTGGAGATTGTTGTTGAGGAAGATAGAGTAGAAACGGTTGAGCCTGGTAAGAGGGGATGAGATTGAGCTGTGGAGCTGAGGTAGGTAGATAGATAGATGAATACGTACAATGGGGCAAAAGGGGAAACTCTTAAACAAACAAATGTCGTCTCCACTTCCATTTCCATCCCAAAAGTCATATTCTCCACCATCCATTCAATTCCTTCCTTGTGGCCGCAGACCAAAACAAGATCCCTCCACCATCCACAACCCCAATTTCTTCCTTCTCAGTCTCTCTATCTTTAGGGTTTTCCAATTCGGTTATCTGCCATCAGTTAATTAATTCGTGCAAAAGACAATATATTGATAGATCTCAAACCAGCCGTGTGGAAGCCTCCATTGGCTCTCCTCCTTTGCTGCGGCCAAGAAATATCGAAGCCGAAGTATGGGCTGCTCAAGAAAGCTCACGTGATGTCTGTATTCTGCGACGGCGAGGTTGCAGTCATCGTCTTCTCCCGGCGCGGGAAGCTCTCCGAGTTCTCTAATCACGAGTAAGCTAATGCTATTTAGGATTTTCTTTTTTTAATTTTTAAAATAATTAGGTGGAAAATAAAAAATAATTAAATTTTATTTATTATTATTATTTTAATTGCCACGTCACTCATTTAACGGTCAACTATAAGAGTTGACCGCCACATCAGCAAAAGTTAACGGAGACTAACGGGCAGTGACCAAACTTGAACTGTTAACTCAATTTAAGTGATTACGGATGAAATAAATTAATTTCAGTGGCAAACGTGAAATTTTTGAGTAATTCTAGTGACCAAACTTGCAATTTAGCCGAAAAGAAACTAACAACGGGACGGAATGCCCAGAATCGCAAGTGATGAAATCAAGCAGGACTAAACAATACCAATCTCTGAGGTTTAAAATCAAGAACACAGTCTTCTCCTAGGGCTGCAAATGAGCCGACTTGCTCGTGAACGGTTTGGCATTCGACTCGAGAAAAATTTGTTCGAAACTCGACTTGTTTACAAACGAGCGGAGTTTTAGTTAAGCATGCAGCAGCTCGCGAGCTAGCTCGACTTGGTGTCTTGTTGAGTTCAACTCGTGAGCTGACTCATTTACAGTTCATGAGATGTCTTATTTAATTTTAAAAAGAAATTATGTATCATAAATTACTTCGATTAGTTAAAATTTATTAACTAAATAATATGAACACAAATATTATTATTATAATTTTCATTTTGACATTAATCACATTTATCATATATGACATACAAACTGAATATATCAAATACGAGTCAAGATTTTAGTAACCAAACTAGCTCGACTTCGAGTTGGGACAAAACTCGACTTATTTGCATCGCTACTTGCAGCCCTACTTGCAAGGTGCAAGTGCAATCAACCTTCACGAGTGAGTGAGCTATTCAAAGACGCCACTCACTCTCACTGTTAAGAGTCCATGAAGTGACATCGGAAATGCTGATTAAATTAGACACGAGGAAAGTACATGACTTGGTAGATTGGAAAAGGCCCGCTTGATAATTGTCAAGAACCAGTTGATCCCAATAACTCGAGTTGTTGGGAGAAGGTTATGCTGGATCTTATACCACACCCTAACACGCCCCCTCAAACGAAAGCCAACTCATGGGCTTGAAATTTGCACAGGCCCACCATACCTTGTGCTTTAATCAACTGTTAATATTGGGGGTCGTGGAGATTCGAACACACGACCACTTGGCCAAACCAGCTCTGATACCATGTCATAAACCAGTTGGTCTCAATAACTCGAGTTGTTGGGAGAAGGTTATGCTGGATCTTATACCACACCCTAACAATAATATCCAACAAGCAATGGGATTTTGGAGATCGTTGGAGAGGATGGTTATGGCCTATGGGAATGAAGTCAAAATTGTTCAAAATTTGCTAAGGAACAAAATTAAGATGGTAAATTGCAAGTTTAGTTGGATTACTAAAAAAAATTCATGTTCGTCACTAAAAATATTTTATTCTAATCATTATCACTAAAATTATCACCTCTACTTTTTAGTGTTTTCATATCCGGTCAATACGAAAGATTTCCGGGTTGAATATGTGAGATATAATTAACCTCCCAGCTGAATGATTCTCGTTGTTCTTTGAGGAACACCTCCTTGCACTACTACAGGAAATTTCGCCACTTTGGATTTTTTTACCACTTTCCTCTTTCTTTTCCTCCTTCGGTTGCTTGCATTACAAGACAGCCGTATTCAGAGGCTGTTTCTTTTCTGTGCACGGAGTAACGTCATTTTTACAGGAAACCCAACAGCTTAACCTTTAGCTAAAAACAGCAGTACGCATTTCCCGTTTAAGTTCCGACTGCAACTTCACACTGGAAGTACACACCTCAGAATAAATTTGGTAACATCGATAAATTCGATACAAATGTCGATGCATCTCAAATACCGGTACCAAAGTTGCTTTGGTCACACCCATGCCACCTTCCTCTGAAAGGAATCACAAAAGGACGCCTCAGAATTTCATATCCGGGTCGAATTAGGAAACTACCCCACACATGCAGAAGCAACTTTAAGACTGAGCAGCCAAAGGAGTGAACATTTAAACAACTCATATATTATCATCTTTCCCTCTTGCACACAGTTCTTCCTGCAGCATTCTCATCAGTTAACTTGAAGGAAAAGAAAACAATGGATCAGAACAACAAGCTCAGCCAAAGATCAGTAGCAGCCTGGATGACAATTCTATGGCTGCTTACCATCAGAATCATAGCCACTGCAGCACATAGAATGTTAGGAGATGAAACTGAAGAAGTGCAGAAAGAAATTAGACAAGATCAGTTCCTGACAAGAATGGTTCATTTCCTGTGGCAGAGTGGCAAGTCATCTTATGAGCCTGTCTGGCCTGTGAGTAATACCAATTCTGTTCCCTTTTCGCACCCTTTCCCCCCTCCGATTGTTCTTCAATTCTAATCCCTAAACTTTTCAGGAAATGGAGTTTGGATGGAAGATTGTGGTAGGAGCAGTAGTAGGCTTCTTTGGAGCTGCATTTGGCAGCGTTGGGGGAGTTGGAGGTGGTGGCATCTTTGTTCCCATGCTTACATTGATCGTCGGCTTCGATCCCAAGTCCTCAACTGCCATTTCCAAGTGTAAAGATCAACGCGAGCTTTTCAACTTCATAGTTTAACCATGTGCTGTAACGTTTTTTTTTAATTAATGATGGATGGTGGTGGTGAATTCTGCAGGCATGATAACGGGCGCTGCTGGATCAACAGTTTACTACAACCTGAGACTGAGGCATCCGACGCTGGACATGCCACTCATTGACTACGACCTTGCCCTCCTGTTTCAGCCGATGCTGATGCTTGGGATCAGCATCGGTGTCGCGTTCAATGTCATGTTTGCTGACTGGATGGTCACTGTTCTCCTCATCATTCTCTTCATAGGCAAGTTGGTGATCACTAGTTACTGGAAAGATAAAAATAACAGTAGTAGTTGGAATTGAATTAATGGGGCTAACTCTGCAATTGACTACTCTGCAGGTACATCAACAAAGGCTTTATCCAAAGGTATAGAGACATGGAAGAAGGAAACAATGATGAAGGAAGCTTCCAGGCAGATGGAATCACAACCCAAAACAGATCATGATGGTACTGACCATTTTGTTAATGCCTAACCATATAAAGAAAAATGGGTAGTATACTGTGAAGTGTATAATTTACTGAGGTAAATTTCTGCAGATCATGGCAATGGTGGTGAACAAGACTATAAGAGGCTGCCAAGTGGGCCAGCAGCTCTCCATGATAAAGATGATGAGGTGAGTTTATTCATATTTACTGTTTTCAGCAGAAACTAATCCCATCTAGTTACTTATGTGCTCTCTGTTGTTCCTTTTTTCTGCTATTGTTATCAGGTTTCCTTATCACAGAACATACACTGGAAAGAGATGGCAATGCTGGTTTATGTCTGGGTGGGATTCCTTCTAGTTCAACTAGTTAAGGTACCGGCACACAACTTCCCTTCACCTTTTTTCAGTGTCGCGCGAAATTCTTCGATAGACTGAATCGATCGATTCGTGTGACTTTGTAACGCAGACATATGTTCCAACTTGCTCTGTCACATACTGGATCTTGAATGCCTTGCAGGTAATACCCATTTCAGACTTTCTTAATTAACAGTAGTGCTTATATTTTGCTGTAGCAACTCAAAAGAAGAAATGTTGCTGCAATGGTTTGTACTGTAGGTACCAATTGCAGTGTCTGTGTCAGTGTATGAAGCGGTGTGGCTGTGGAAAGGGAAAAGGGTGATAGCTTCCAGAGGGAAGCAAATCACCAACTGGAAGTTGCATCAGTTGTTGCTCTACTGTTGCTGTGGGATTGTGGCTGGGATGGTTGGTGGCCTCCTTGGCCTTGGTGGTGGCTTCATCTTGGGGCCTCTTTTCCTTGAACTTGGTATCCCTCCTCAGGTAGGTAAAACTTGCTACTTAGGGAAATCAAACATTTATTGAAAATCAAACACTATAATCTGAGATTTACATAAACTCTCACAACCTCACCTGTAATGCAGGTGGCAAGTGCAACATCAACCTTTGCAATGGTGTTCTCATCTTCAATGTCTGTAGTCCAGTACTACCTCCTCAAACGCTTCCCTATCCCCTATGGTCAGTCTCGCATCCATCGTGACTCTAACCCGTCGAAACATTTGTACTTGAATTGTTTGTTAACATGACGAACAAGGGCTTGGTCTAGTGCTTACACTTGTCTGATAATTAGTCTTGACTATGGCTGCTTGAAAATCTATGGTTGCAGCTGCTTATTTCGTGGTGGTATCGACCATTGCTGCTCTGGCTGGGCAACATGTGGTGAGAAAGATCATTGCAGTTCTTGGGAGGGCTTCAATCATCATCTTCATCCTTGCTTTGACCATTTTCCTCAGTGCAATCACCCTAGGTATACTGCTCTCTTGTCTTCCATTTTTTTCTCCACCACCACCATCATCATCTCAGTGCAAAGTCACCATTTCTGGTTTTCTGGAGAAAGTTACACTTTGGTTGTTACTGCAGGAGGGGTAGGGATAGTCAACATGGTTGAGAAGCTGGAGAAGAGAGAATACATGGGTTTTGAGAACTTCTGCCGCCATTGATCTCAAGATTCGAGGATGTTGCAAAACTGTTGTCTTGTGCGAGTCAAGCTGCTAAATAGTGTATTTGAGTTTGGTTATTGTTCTTCTTCGCCATAATATTATGTACGAATAATTATGAAGCTTCTAAATCTTTATTTTGAGCTTGTTTCTTCAGAATTAAATGTTGTGTCATGAAAAATTAAGAAGGAATTTTGAGTCTTTGATTCATCAACCACATTTTTTATTAAAGGTGAGGACACTATATATTAGTTAGAGTGGTCACATAAGCTATTCTAGAAGCGGTGAAATGAGATCAAGGATATGAATCCAATCAAAATGGAGTGTTGTCAAGCTCGTCACTCTCAAGGCCGCGAAGATGGGGTATCTTGAAGGGCTTTCACAATATAAAGACAATCTGTATGCATAACGCTCTGTTTGGCAACAAGGGGGGTGCAAATTGCAGGATGGTGCAAGTTGAGGGGTAAATTGTTGGGGGGTGCAAATTGCTGGCGGGTGTAAGTGGAGGGGTAAATTGTTGTTTGGATGAAAAAGTAGGGGGGTGCAAATAGAGTGAAAAGTAAGTAATTATATTATTTTAAAATAGATTTTAAAAATAAATTTTAGATTACAAAATAGATTTTAAAATTTTAAAATATTATCACAAAATAATAAAATAATTATTATTATATAATAATAAATATACTTTACTAAAAATAGTTATTATATAATAATGCTCAAATAATAATTAATTATGACAATTGTATAATCATTGATCGAGCGATCTCAAAACTCGAAGCTCAACTTGTAACTGGTCATCCTATATAGGGTTTTTGTGTCTAGTTTAATTTTAAATTGTCAAACTTAGTTAAACACGTTCGAATTTGTAAGTTTTAACTATTTATTCAAATAAACTGAGTTAACCAAACAATTTCTCTCTATCTTTTTCACAAACACCTCGTATCTCTAATTTTCAATGCAAATTCGATTCAACCAAGAGATCTAGATTTGACTTGACGAACATTGATAAACTTGTTTCCCGAGTCAAATGGTCAACCCCGAATAATGTTTACATTAATGATATTTATAAAAAGAAGAAATTGATAATATTAATTATTATATAATTATATATAACACAATTAGAAAAACAAAATTCCATAATTCCCCCTCCCCCTCTCTTCCTTCCTTCCCTTGCACCCCAATTTGGGGGGTAAGCCGAAACAGTAAATTTGCACTCCCGTTTTGCACCCCCCTACTGTTCCAAATTAACCAAACAGGTGCAAATGTGTTGGAAACTGTATTTACCCCTCACATTTGCACCCTCCTCCCATTTACCCCTCTTCCCAAACAGAGTGTAAGTGAGTCTAAGCCAGACGCATTTGCAAATTCCAAGGCAACTAAGATAGCTTGTGCTTCTACCACAATTGCTGATGAGTAGATTAGGGTACCAGCCCTGCCGTCAACAATCTGCCCATGGTAGTTAGTAACCACATCCCCATATGCCGCCATATGAGAAGGATCTCAGAATGATCCATCACTTCCGCTAAAAATTGCTTGGCGGTGCCACAAATGTTGAGCGGGACCCCTTAGGCTGGCTAGGTGATTAATTTGATTTATTGTAATATAATGTTTGATATTTCTGATTGTGTTTTCCATATTAAAAATAAAATTTGTTTGTGACAAAATATGACACTTGTAATATCCATTTAATGCGATATGTACTATTAAATAATCAAATTGGGGAAAAGAAACAACAATCTCTATCGAACAAACACAACTCTCAGTTAAAAGTTGATATTTTACAATCATTTATTTTGAATGATTGTTCCTGCAAATAATACATGCATTATGTTTGCATAAACAAGGATATATTCCAAAGAAAGAAAAGATTATAACAAGGGGATGTAGCTCAAATGGTAGAGCGCCCGCTTTGCATGCGGGAGGTACAAGGTTCGATCCCATGCATCTCCAAACTTAAGCATTCTTCGTCATTTGTGTCCTTCTTTTTGTTCGGTACAGAAGAATCCGGCAGTAGCAGTAGGGAAGCAACAATGGGCATTGGGTCGGAGAGAAGATTTTTTATTATTAGAAGTGTAGGACAGAGGAGTTAGGCGGCGACCTCATTGCGCGATCCGTTTACCCTTTTTCCCTTGCTTTCAATTATTCCAACAGTTTTTAATTACTTTTGACTGAGAATTATTCCAACCGTTGCCTGATTTCAGCTTCCATGAAAACTGCACCAAGCCAAAAAAAATGGAAACTAGAGAAGAAGAATCATCACCATCAAAGCTCGTGCAAGGGAACTTGAGAAATAGGCTTACTTTTATTTTGTCATTTTTGGAATTTAGTCATATATACTCTTTTTGGAATTATAACAAGGGGATGTAGCTCAAATGGTAGAGCGCTCGCTTTGCATGCGGGAGGTACAGGGTTCGATCCCTTGCATCTCCAAACTTAAGCATTCTTCCTCATTCGTGTCCTTCTTTTTGTTCGGTATAGAAGAATCCGGCAGTAGCAGTAGGGAAGCAACGGTGGGCATTGAGCCGAAGAGAAGATTTCTTAGTATTAGAAGTGTAGGATAGAGGAGTTAGGCTGCGGCCTCATTGCGCGATCCGTTTACCCTTTTTCCCTTGCTTTCAATTATTCCAATAGTTCTTAATTACTTTTGACTGAGAATTATTCCAACCGTTGCCTGATTTCAGCTTCCATGAAAACTGCACCAAGCCAAAAAAAATGGAAACTAGAGAAGAAGAATCATCACCATCAAAGCTCGTGCAAGGGAACTTGAGAAATAGGCTTACTTTTATTTTGTCATTTTTGGAATTTAGTCATATATACTCTTTTTGGAATTATAACAAGGGGATGTAGCTCAAATGGTAGAGCGCCCGCTTTGCATGCGGGAGGTACAGGGTTCGATCCCCTGCATCTCCAAACTTAAGCATTCTTCCTCATTCGTGTCCTTCTTTTTGTTCGGTACAGAAGAATCCGGCAGTAGCAGTAGGGAAGCAACGGTGGGCATTGGGCCGAAGAGAAGATTTCTTAGTATTAGAAGTGTAGGATAGAGGAGTTAGGCGGCGGCCTCATTGCGCGATCCGTTTACCCTTTTTCCCTTGCTTTCAATTATTCCAACTGTTCTTAATTACTTTTGATCGAGAATTATTCCAACCGTTGCCTGATTTCAGCTTCCATAAAAACTGCACCAAGCCAAAAAAAAATGGAAACTAGAGAAGAAGAATCATCACCATCAAAGCTCGTGCAAGGCAACTTGAGAAATAGGCTTACTTTTATTTTGTCATTTTTGGAATTTAGTCATAGATACTCTTCTTCCTCCTCCTGCTTGGGATCGACTCCGACAGTAGAAGCAAAGCACCTGCGGAGATCGGGTTGAGGTGGGCGGCTCCGATAGAAAATTTTTACAGTGATAGCAGCGGCCGCAAGACAGAGGATTAGCAGGGATCGGAGGGTAAGAGTGTCAATTTGGTACATTTTAGGGCGATAAAATTTGACATTTAGCGCGACGAATAGCAATGCAGAAAAGAATTTGGGTAAATTGCAAGTTTGGTCACTGGAATTACTTAAAAAGTTTTTGTTTGTCACTAAAATCAGTTTATTCCATCCATAGTCATTTAAAATAGGTTAACAGTCCAAGTTTGATCACTGGCCGTTAGTGTCCGTTAAATTTTGTTGATGTGGTGGTCAACTCTAATAGTTGACCGTTAAATGAGTGACGTGGCAATTTAAAAAAAATAAAATTTAATTATTTTTATTTTTCACCTAATTATTATAAAATTCAAAACAAGAAAATCCAAGGATGTTCAAGCCGCTCCCGGACGACTCGCCTAATTCTTCGATAGGGGGTTGTTTAGAGGCAGAACCGGCTTTGGTCGGGGGATGCGGGGCGTTTGGTTTCCTCGGAGGAGCTGGCAGAGGCGGCGCTAAAGTCTTGTTCTGGAGAGGTGGCGGCTGCTTGGGTATTGTTGGTGGCAGTCGAGGCGACATCAAGAGCGCGGTCGGTGGCGGGGGAGGATGGCTGAATTATGAACTGGGCTTAGCTTTCTCTACGACGGTCGACATCAACGCAATCTCACCGCCACCAGAAACAACAGACGCGTAACCGTATGATGAGGACGTTAGCGGAGATCTCACCTAAGGGTGGGCAACCGGTTCGATAAACCCAAACCGAAACCATATTATACCAAACCGAATTAATGCTATTCGGTTCGAAATTTGGAAAGGAAATATGGATATTTTGGAAACCACGGTTCTTTCAACCGAACTAAATTCCGACCAAAAAACCGAATTACTATAATTGCAAGCTCTAAATGGTGGATATTTATGTTTGTACTTGTTTTGAGACTTAAATATTTGAATAATGTTAGTGTTTTATGACTTATGTGTTGAAATGTTTGATTTTATCATTGATAATGTATATAATTGCATATTTATTGTTTACATTCGGGGTGAAGATTTATTTAAAATGGAGAAGATACAAGTATTATCACAAATTCAGTTTGAAGTTTGATGGAATTCGAGGACCCGATGTGTATGATTTTTGTTCGGTTCCAGTATGTATGATTTTGATTCGATCGAAACCGAACCGATCGAATGCCCACCCCTAATCTCACCACCCACCACTACATTTTAATAATCTCTGCAAAAATCCCCTCGAGGATAGGACGATCAGATTGGGTATAGAACTCAAACACATACCAGATCCTTCAATACATATCTTCTAGGAGCTTTCCTTTCCATGGGCGATGCAATCTCCAATTCCGCTGAGACAATCAGCGTCGTCTCCAAGGAGTTCAAAAACAAGCTCGCAACTCCATCTGGGTCGGGCTTCGTTTCGGCAATCGTCGACAGCTTCACACGAAATTCGGTCACGGCCTATTACGAATGCTCTTCCGAACAGGGCAGCGATGACTCTGCTTCAGAATTGATGGAATTGATGTGTAGCCTGAAATGTGAAGACTTGATCGCCCTATGTTCTCAACCAGGGAAGCGATGCCGTCCTCGTCGACAGGAACTCGGAGCTTTTCAAGTCCAAGTTCCTCCTCGGCCGGTGGTTGTCGGGATGGAGCATGGATAAGGCGCTGAAGGAAAGGTATCAAAATGCATAATGGTATTTACATTTTAATGAAATACAATTTGCTTCAAAATAGGTCTAGTTTTTCCCACAAAAAACATTTTTGAAAATAAACTAAAATGGTTATAAGAGAACATATTCGTAATATATTGTTCTTTTAAAATTGTACACAAAAAATATTATGTGAAGTGTAGTATTTATTTAATATACATCTAAATTTTAAGTAGAAGAATGTATTACGTTAGGAAACCACAAGAGAAAAATATGATAAAATATCTTAAATTTATTACAAATATGGTTTGGATACGAACATTTATGATAATAGTTGGAACACGGGTTGGGTCGGGTTCTACGGGTTGCGTAACCCAAAATCCGGACCCAACCCATTAGAGGCGGGTTGTACAAAAATAAAATCCCACCCAACCATAAATCTTAATTTTAACAATAAATACGGGTGGTTTGGGTCGGATTGGATGGGTGGGCCGGTTTGCGGGTTGTTTTGTTCACCTCAAGGTAGGGATGAAGATAATTAGTTTTATTTTTTAATAATTTTGATAATGAGGTGGAAAATAAAAATAATTATTTTTTATTTTTTAATTGTCATGTCACTCATTTAACAATCAACTACGAGAGTTGATCGCCACATCAGCAAAAGTTAACGGAGACTAATGCTAGTGATCAAACTTGGACTGTTAACTTAATTTAAGTGACAACGAATAAAATAAATTAATTTTATTGACAAATATGAACTTTGTAAATAATTCTAGTGACCAAACTTACAATTTACCCAAAAGAATTTATATGAAAAAATTAAGGGGTCGTTCCAAATCCAACACTAATTGGAAATTTGGAATCAGTTAAATCCCGTGTTTGGGTGCATAAAAATTTGAGTATCAAACCACCTCTAGTATCTTTTAATTGAATAAAACTTTAAATGTGATAGAACGTTGAAATGCCTAGAATTTAGATCGACGACACTATTGAATAGATAATCATAGTGAATTGTAAAATGGTAAAATTTAGCTACTCTAGAAAAGAATTATTGTGAAAAAATTGAGAGGTCGTTCCAAATCCAACACTAATGTGAATCTGTTTAAACCAATGTTTGGGTCCTTAAAAAAGTGGGTATCAAATTCGTAGACCTATGAATTTGAAAATCTCACGTCAATTGGTAAGATTTGAGAGAAGGAACCAAATCTTTGTTACTAAATGACTCTCATATCCCCATAAGTTTTATTCTGGTTCATATTTGCCATCATTATTTATTTTTCCTTGTCCATGAAATCAATCGTTCAGAAATTGGAAAATAATCCAAAAAATGAAAACTATGGTTGTGTATAACAAACAATACAAACCCAAGAAAAAATCCAAGCAACTCGTCTAATGAAACAATAATCTTTTTATCCAAATTAAAATTTTGTTTTTTTATCCTAAAATCCTAATGGTTTATTTTCTTCGTAAAAACAAAAACCGAAGTTACGAGTTTTTATTTGGTGACTAAGAAAGTCATCTTTTTTCTTCAGTAGCTTTGGCTAGTTTTAAATTTTGCAATTGGCTCTACACGATGTTGTAAACGTTATTTCTTGGTAATACAAGTTATATTGATTAAAAAACTAAAGTTATGAGTTCGCTTGAACAAAAGGATGAAAGGTTGAAAAACAAAAGACAATTTAAATTTTTTTCCCCTTAGAAAGGTAAACTGATTGAAAATAATAGAACAATTGGAGATAGTAAGATAAATAAAACTTTCAACTCATAAATAATATTGAGCACAATCCATCATAAAATGTAGTATCCAAACAACAATTTTTAAAATTCCAAATCATCCATCGCCATTTTTTTTTATTTTTACAATCTAAAGTTTGATTAAAAATATTATTTTTCAAATCAAATTCGAGTTGTATAGAAAATACCATCAATTCGAATTTAAATTTTATTAATGCAAGACGTAGAATTTTGATTATTCTCTAGGCCATACCTAATACCTTCCCTGCTTCCCGTCCTTTATCAAATTTAATAAATAAAAAACATTACCTTCCCATCCAAATTGACTAAAAGCTGGCAGATGAAATGGCATGAAGAAAAGAAAACTTATAAAAAGAAGAGCTAAAATGCCTAAGAAAGTGGGACACGGAAGCGAGTTGTCAAACCGGTTTATGCCGGTGTGTTGGTTTAGCAAGCAGAATGGTTCAACTGGTGGCACATATCGGTTTGTGCCGCTTCATGCCGGTCAATATTACAAATAAAATTATAAATACTCATATTTAAACATGACATTTAGCGTCAATTCCTAAACATTTATACTTAATCCAACAAATAACATCAATATTTAACTTTTATACTCATAAAATAAATAATAAAATAATTTTTATCAATTAAATTCTCTAAATTAAAGTCATTTTGGTTAGAGATTCGTATATCGATCATGCCAATCATACCGGTGATGTCATGCCAGTTTTATAACCGATATCGATTGAATCCGATACAACTGGTGGCACGCTGGCCGGCGTGACAACCATGCGCACTCCTTTCCTTTTCGATTACCGTTCGTGGGGTGCCGCCCGGCAATTATTTGCTGCCTAAAACACCCCCTGTTACTCGATTCCAAACTCAGTATCCACTTAGACATAATCGTAAATCTTCTACTGTCCAGGGGCATAAACGAAATATTGATTTTCCCGCTCAAAACTCCTGGGGAGGAGGGAATACTGGAGTGGAGACACTGAGATAATTAATATCATAAAACAAACTCCATTTCCAAATATTTTCCAACTTTTCGAGTTCTCTGTCCTCTCACCGTCGCGCTGTGCTGCCTCCGCCTCTTCAATGTCCGCTCCTCTGCAATCCGTCGCTGAGCAAGCTCCCTGTGCCGGTCCGTCTGCTGCTTTCAGTCTTCGTTCATAGTTCTTCGTGGTTACTTGGTGCTTTCATTTTGTGTTTATTTCTGCGTGCCTAGGGTTTTCTGTTCCTGCACTTGTGTGTTTACGAGTTAAGACTGTAGCTCATTGCACGCTTTTGTTGATGCGGTAGTCGAAATTGCGAGGGATTTCTGTTTGCGTCGCTGCGCCGTTGGAGCTGCTCTGATTTTGTTTGTGGTGTTTGTTCTAGGGCTGGATATGAATCTGATTCAGGGTGAAATGAAGAACGACGCTTCCGTCGACTCTCCGACGTCGGTTCTCGGAGATGAGGTGCGTTCTTTGACCTCCCTTTTCCACGGTTCTCGTGTGCTGCTTTTTTGCTTAAATTTTTGAGGTCTCATGTTTCTGTTTGGTTCTCCGGGGAGTTGGGGGGAAAAAAAAGAGACATGGAAATCTCATACTTTGTAATGTCGGCCCTACGTCGAGGAACTCTTATGCATTTCAGAAGCTTTGCTTTTGCGAGGCTTCTAAAATAGATTCTACAGCGCAATGCTTAAAATGCTTCATCTGGATGCATTTCTATCCAACTTAGGTCAATGATACTGAGCTACTTTGTTGTTCCAAGGGATTGTTTGCTACCATGTTTAGTTCCTGAACTTTTTCGCATTTTTCTGGGATGTGAAGGATAATTGCCAGAACAATTTGGAAGCTAAATCTGAGGAAGACACTCTTCAAGAGGGAGGGATTGGGGATTCCTCTCTCATATCAAAGACAATGAAGGAGGAGGAAGAGAAGTTGTTGAACTACAGGGAGAAAGAAGAAGCAAAATCAGAAGAGCAGGAGGCACCTCATTTGAATGATTCTCAGTTTACCAAGTTGGATGAGCTTCTTACTCAGACACAGATGTACTCGGAGTTCTTACTGGAGAAGATGGATGAAATCACACATGTACCTCTCAAACATGTTTATGCTGTAACATTTCCCCCCTCTTGTCATTGGTATCTCTTAGTCACGTGTCTTACAATTTGAGAGTGAGTTTGCAGAATGGCGGGGAGCAAGAGGATGAAACTGTTGAGAAAAAGAAAGGCCGCGGTTCAAAGAGAAAAGCTGCTGCAGGTTGTAATACGGTAAATTTCTTTTCCGATATATAAACTATACTGTGTATTCTATTCTGGACTGTTGAAGCTATAACCTTTCAGGCCTCCCTTGAGTTAATCAATATTTAATTACGCAATTGTGGTTGATTCGTGTAATTTTGACAGGTGAGCTCTTCTTGTCTCCAGTTATTTTTCTTACTGAGTTTTCTGTTATTCCCATGGTTTCAGAGAAAAGCCAAGAGGGCCATTGCAGCCATGATTACCAGATCAAAAGAAGTAGAAAGTGCTGAAGATGCCAATTTGAGTGAAGAAGATAAGGTTGAGAAAGAGCAGAAGGAGCTGGTGCCATTGTTGACTGGTGGCAAGCTGAAGCCTTATCAACTCAAAGGTGTCAAGTGGCTGATCTCTTTATGGCAAAATGGGTTGAATGGCATCCTTGCTGATCAGATGGGGCTCGGGAAAACTATTCAAACAATTGGTTTCCTTGCACACCTTAAGGGGGAGGGTTTAAATGGCCCCTATTTGATAATAGCTCCTCTTTCTACTCTGGCAAACTGGGTGAATGAGATTTCAAGGTATAGAGTCACTGCCTTTTCTTGCGAAGTCTAATACAATCAAGAATTTATGGTTTACTTGGATTTTGTGAATCTTTGATTCCCAATCAGGTTTGCTCCATCTTTGAATGCTGTAATCTACCATGGTGACAAGAATCAGAGGGATGAGATAAGGAGGAAACACATGCCTAGATCTATTGGCCCAAAATTTCCCATTATTGTTACTTCATATGAAGTTGCATTATCTGATGCGAAAAGGTTTCTGAGACACTACTCTTGGAAATATGTTGTGGTTGATGAGGTGAAGTCTCTCTTTATAACTAATGTGTTTGATCTTTAGATGCCCTTGCACTTTGATTGTTTTTTGACCCATTCATCTCTTTATTAGGTGTGTTTTATGCCTAAACTATTCTGTTGGTACACTTCTAACCATTAATTGTCTTCAGGGTCATCGACTGAAAAACTCCAAGTGTAAACTGCTGAAACATCTAAAGCTTATTCCAATGGAGAACAAACTTTTGTTAACTGGAACCCCTCTGCAGAACAATCTTGCAGAGCTTTGGTCCTTGTTGAACTTTATATTACCAGATATTTTTCAGTCTCATGAAGAATTCGAGTCATGGTTAGCATCTTCTTAAGCTCTTTTGCGTAACTTAGTTGCCATTTGATAGCTTCCTGTTTCTTCACTTCATGACAGAGTTGATAATGCTCAATTCACCTATGGAGCAACTTCATAATTAAATGACGATTCACTTCATAACTTATTAATGGCTTCTCTCAGGTTTGATCTGTCAGGAAAGTGCAACAATGAAGACATGAGGGAAGAGCTAGAAGAGAAGAGAAGATCGCAGGTATTGCATTCTTGTTTTGCTGCTTTAGAAGACATTAAGCTTTTTGGCTGGGCTTTATAACCACGTTGGTTTTTTTTTCCAGGTTGTGGCTAAACTTCATTCCATCCTCCGCCCATTTCTCCTCAGAAGGCTGAAGGCTGATGTTGAGCAGCTGCTCCCTAGGAAGAAGGAAATTATACTATATGCAACCATGACTGAGCACCAGAAGAACTTCCAGGATCACTTAATTAACAAGACACTTGAAAATCATTTGCGAGATAAAGCTATTATAGGAGGTAATGCATGGAAGCCCTCTTATTTATGGTGACTCATCTGCTGTGATTATTGGTATTGTAAATTTGAGCAAACTGTGTTACTTATAAAACTACCATCGTGTGCTATGTTTGCTCTTCTATCAAATGGGTGCCCTATTAAACATCATGTGAATGCGTCCGTGGTAGAAAGCGCTCTATGGTTTCTGTAACTGGCTAATATTTCAGGAAATCTATTTTGTAGCTTTAGTAAAGATGATAAATTTGGGGTTGTCTGCATGATGTGCAATTTTCAGATATTGCACCATATTTTGATGTACTGCATGATCAAAATGTTTGGTTCAGTTATTTTAATGTGGTATTAATAATCTTCTCTGTCTAATCTAAGCTGAATCTTGTACCTTGCAGCACCTGGCATGAAAGGGAAGTTAAACAATTTGGTTGTTCAACTCCGGAAGAACTGCAATCATCCAGATCTCTTGGAGTCAGCCTTTGATGGCTCATGTATGTCCTTAACTGCAGTACGCTAACGAGCTATTTAGTGATGTGAACTGCAGATTCAATAGAGATGATATGTTTATATAATATTTGTAGATATGTACCCGCCTGTTGAGCAGATCGTTGAGCAATGTGGCAAGTTCAAGTTGCTGGAAAGGTTGCTGAAGCGGTTGTTCGAACTCAAGCATAAAGTATGACTAAGGCCGATCTCATAGAAAGTAAATGTGCTGATGCCTTTTACACTCATCATCTTCTGTTGATTTCCTGGGCAGGTTCTGATATTCAGCCAGTGGACTAAGATCTTGGACATCATGGACTACTATTTTAGTGAAAAAGGATTTGTGGTGTGTAGAATTGATGGTAGTGTCAAGCTGGAAGAAAGACGAAGACAGGTTTGGTGCCTCCATTGACCCTTTTCAGTGACGAAGATGACTGTCTTGCATTTACCACTTAATGTTTACTCGGGAGTTGACACATGCTATGAGAATGATACAGTAGCTATATTTCTTTGCTTAGTCTTCCTTGCGATACTGGTGTTTTGTATGGTAGACGAGCATGACATGTTTTTTTGTTTTTTGACAGATTGACGAATTCAATGACATTAACAGCAGTTGCAGGGTGTTTCTTCTGAGCACCAGAGCTGGTGGATTGGGTATCAACCTCACTTCAGCTGATACTTGCATACTCTATGATAGTGATTGGGTAAATTTTGCTCATTATATGCACATTTCTCATTTTTCTGATTCTACACCCTAGGTACAATTTTGAGTTGTACCATGAGGATTTCTTATACCATTGTAGGTACAAAGATGTAAAATTGTGTACCATGTTATAGTACAATTTGGGTTGTACCATTAAAGAATTTTGAGAAAGTGTAGGTACAACTTAAGGTTGTACCATTAGTATAGGTACAATTTTTAGTTGTACCATAAGGGATTTGTTAGAAAGTGTAGGTACAACTTAAATTTGTACCATGGTATAGGTACAATTTTGGGTTGTACCATAGAAGGATTTTTGAAAGTGTAGGTACAACTTAAAGTTGTACCATTAGTATAGGTACAATTTTGAGTTGTACCATAAAGAGATTTATTAGAAAGTGTAGGTACAACTTAAAGTTGTACCATTAGTATAGGTACAATTTTGAGTTGTACCATAAGGGATTTATTAGAAAGTGTAGGTACAACTTAAATTTGTACCATTAGTATAGGTACAATTTTGAGTTGTACCATAAAAGAATTTTGAGAAAGTGTAGGTACAACTTAAAATTGTACCATATTATAGGTACAAGTTTGGGTTGTACCATAGAAGGATTTTGAAAAAGTGTAGGTACAACTTAAGGTTGTACCATTAGTATAGGTACAATTTTTAGTTGTACCATAAAGGGATTTGTTAGAAAGTGTAGGTACAACTTAAGGTTGTACCATTCGTATAGGTACAATTTTTAGTTGTACCTTAAAGGGATTTGTTAGAAAGTGTAGGTACAACATAAAGTTGTACCATAGTATAGGTACAAGTTTGGGTTGTACCATAGAAGGATTTTGAAAAAGTGTAGGTACAACTTAAGGTTGTACCAATAGTATAGGTACAATTTTGAGTTGTACCATAAAGGGATTTATTAGAAAGTGTAGTACAACTTAAAGTTGTACCATTAGTATAGGTACAATTTTGAGTTGTACCATAAAGGGATTTATTAGAAAGTGTAGGTACAACTAAAAGTTGTACCATTAGTATAGGTACAATTTTGAGTTGTACCATAAAAGAATTTGAGAAAGTGTAGGTACAACTTAAGGTTGTACCATTAGTATAGGTACAAGTTTGGGTTGTACCATAGAAGGATTTTGAAAAAGTGTAGGTACAACTTAAAGTTGTACCAAGGTATAGGTACAAGTTTGGGTTGTACCATAGACCGATTTTTAGAAAGTGTAGGTACAACTTAAAGTTGTACCATGGTATAGGTACAAGTTTGGGTTGTACCATAGAAGGATTTTGAGAAAGTGTAGGTACAACTAAAAGTTGTACCATTAGTATAGGTACAATTTTGAGTTGTACCATAGAGGGATTTGTTAGAAAGTGTAGGTACAACATTAAGTTGTACTATAGTGTATAGGTACAATTTTTAGGAAAGTGTAGGTACAACTTTAAATTTAGTGTAAAGGTACAACTCTAGAAAGTGTAGGTACAATTTTGAGGAAACACGGCTCATCTCACGGCCGTGACATGACCCGTGACAAGCAAAAGTAGTTTTCCTATCTCCAGACAATCACACGGCTTATTCTCACGCCCGTGAGAATCAACAGATGAGCCGTGAGAGGTACAGCATTCAATTCCAAAACACGGCTCATCTCACGGCCGTGATAATGTCGAAAGCAACCCGTGAAACCCTCTGGGAAACTGAGACGTGCGTTTTTACATTCACGGCCTATCTCACGGCCTATCTCACGGCCGTGATATTTCCAGAATTACATATCCAAAACCACGTCTTCTTTCACGGCCGTGGGATTTCCAGAATTGGCCGTGAGATTTCCAGAAATAGTCTGCACAGACATGCACCTGTACAACTAACCCTTGTACTTATTATAATGGTGCAAGTAACATAATATACTGTTTGTGAAAACTACAAGCTTATGAAAAGATGAGTCATAATGTTCTTTGAAGCTTGACACGAGCATTACATAGATCCTTCTCTAGTAACTGTACATCATATCAGATGAGATACCCTGTTAACAAAAAGTAAAAAGCAGTCAAAGCTTTACATTTGTCTTATAAAACAAACATCCATAACACGATTAATGCTTAAGTTTAGATGCATGTAGCCCACACTGGTGCATCATAATATTCTAATTCGAAAACATACAAGCACAAAAGCAAACACACATAGCTAAGTACTAAGGACTTTGGTTGGCTCATCTTCACTGCCCATCTTTCTCGTTAGTGTTCTCGTCCTCGTCTTTGTTTTCCTGGATTTGCTCATCTTCATTGTCCTCGCTAGAGTCACTGCTGTCTTCCTCATTGGTCCCTTTGACCTCTTGATTTTTTTCCTTGTTTTGGTCATCGCCATTGCCCTCGTCGTCCTCTTCACTGCTGTCTTCCTCATTGGTCCCTTTGTCCTCTTGAATGCTTTCCTTGTTTTGTTCCTCTCCTTTCTCCTCTTGATTTTTTTCCTTGTTTTGGTCATCGCCATTGCCCTCGTCGTCGTCCTCTTCACTGCTGTCTTCCTCATCGGTCCCTTTGTCCTCTTGAATGCTTTCCTTGTTTTGTTCCTCTCCTTTCTCCTCTTGATTTTTTTCCTTGTTTTGGTCATCGCCATTGCCCTCGTCGTCGTCCTCTTCACTGCTGTCTTCCTCATTGGTGTCACTGTCCTCTTCACTGCTTTCCTTGTTTTGTTCCTCTCCTTTCTCCTCTTGATTTTTTTCCTTGTTTTGGTCTTCGCCATTGTCCTCGTCGTCGTCCTCTTCACTGCTGTCTTCCTCATCGGTCCCTTTGACCTCTTCAATGCTTTCCTTGTTTTGTTCCCCTCCTTTCTCCTCTTGATTTTTTTCCTTGTTTTGGTCATCGCCATTGCCCTCGTCGTCGTCCTCTTCACTGCTGTCTTCCTCATCGTTCCCTCTGACCTCTTGATTTTTTCCCTTGTTTTGGTCATCGCCATTGCCCTCGTCGTCGTCCTCTTCACTGCTGTCTTCCTCATTGGTGTCATTGTCCTCTTCACTGCTTTCCTTGTTTTGTTCCTCTCCTATGTCCTCTTGATTTTTTTCCTTGTTTTGCTCATCGTCATTACCCTCGTCATCCTCTTCACTTCCCTCTTCATTGATCTCCTCGGTTGGCCTAGGAGATAGTTCCCAAGGTCTTGAGAATTGTTCGTAGTCAATCCTCAAGGACCTCATGATCTGATGGTTGCATTCGATGATGTAGCGTCGAGCTTCCTTCTCTCGATCGAGGCGGGAGAGAATGAGTGCATTTTGCTCCAGAATTTGGGCATTCTGCCGACCCAATGCCTCAAAATGGGATATGTAGCTGTCGGTGGATGGTCCGGCTTGAGTCGTAGTTTGGTGATGTTGTGCAGGTTGTTCCGGAGTCTCCTCGACCATTTGCTGAACAACATGCTCCGATGCGTTTGCCTCATCTGTTGCAAGAGGTCGAGCAGGATGAGGGAGGCCAACAATGCCTACCACACCATTCTCCTTAACCACCAAACACAGACATGATCAATATCAGAAGCATTAGTTACATTTGCTCAATGTTCAAAAGGAACTAGATTAGTAGGCAATCCAAAACTTGCACAAAATCAATCCTAGATTGTTTGAATCCCGACTAGTTATGTTTTAGCATTCACTGTGAAAAGGAAAGTGTTGGTTGGAACATTTACCTTTGACAACAAATTTAGATCCGCAAGGTTTTTTTGGGAGATTGGTTGAGTGGACTGGGCAATGGTGCAATGAGAACCCACCGGATCAATGCCAAAATGCCGAGCTAGCCTTGTGATGTAGGCACCTCCATGGATGGTCTTGATTTGTTTGTTGGAGGTGATCTTCTGTAGGGTTTTCAATATGACTATACCAAGATGAATTGGGGGATCTTTTACCATAGAGAGGAAAAAGTTCAAATCCCGCTTGGTCACACTCCCCGGGCTCCCCTCCCTAGCTGCCACAGAATGAGCGATAATGTTGTGGATGATACGCCACGGGGGAAGAAGATCATTCCCTTTATAGTGGGCAGGGTCAGACTTGTCCACATGGTTTTGTTTTACCGTTCTCCACATAGCATTGACCGATTCTGCTCTTGAATGATATATTTGCTCCGAAATAAAACCATGTCCACCTGTGGTGAGAAATCCTGGTGGGTATATCTGGAGTGCCTCTGTGAACTCAGTGATGCTCATCTGTCTCGCCTGTCCTCCAAGGCGAAAAGTTATGTTGTCTTCGGGCTTGTCGAGGTTAAACTCGGACATTCTCTTGATGGAGAGAGTGCTGAGGAACTCAATGGTAAGCTCTCGGTAGATGACCTCATTGATGGAGAGAACCTCACACCATGCCGGGAGACGGAGGCATGTGCGAACGGGTTCCGCTGCTCCGAGGCGCTCTAGGAGATCCCAATCAAAGCATCTTTGCTGCCCAAATGGGAGGGGAAGGAAGCGCTCCAAAGCCTTCCTATGTTCGACGGGTAATTGGAGGAAGCCGTGAAGTCTCCCTCCTCCAAGTTGAGCCTCCGCTTGTGGTGGTGGTGGAGATGGTTGGCGTGCCCGTCCTTGGTTGTTTTTGCGTTGTCGTTTGGGGGGAGTGTCTCGTTCTTGGGTTTGGCGGCGACGAGAAGAAGGAGCCTTCCTTTTAGCAGGTGAGGCTGCTGGTTGCCGGGTTTTTGGTTTAGCTTTCCCCATTCCTACAAAAACCAACTAAGCACATTTAGTCTTTAGTAATGCAATTCTCCCGCAAAACTTGGACCGACTGCAAAAGGGAAAAAGCGAGTACTGCTATAGCCACCAGCAAATAGTAAGAGCATCAGTTGTGGGTAGTTTCAGTTTTCGGTTAATGTACTTAATCTTATGCAACCTCTTGATCATCTAGTTCACCAGGTACCTCAGAGATCTCTATCCACCAACATAATAAATGAAGCAGAAGAGTAATTGAGACTACCCATCAGCTATAAACGGTGATGAGCATTAACCAGTATGTTATACAAAGGTAGAAGAGCAACCAAGACATGTAATA